CAACCAATGAGAGATGGATTTAATGCCGACAGAATGCAAATAATAGTACTCTTTCAGAATGACTTAAATATATTGCAGATCCTCAAAAAATAAAGAATAGCATCTATAAAAGGGATAATAAATTATGATACAGTGAATGAATAGAAATGACTCAAGAATGGATATACATGGGTATAAAAAGGGAACAATTGGAATTACTGAAAATAAAAAATAGTTGTTGAAGTAAACAAACTTAATACATGGGATAAAATCTAGTCTAATACAATCCTTTTATAGTCAAAGAGTGAATTTATGAATTGGAATTCATCAAGGAATTTGTCAAGAGCACAGTACAGATACAGTGATAAAGTATATGGAAAAGAAGATAAGATATGTGGGGAATATTTGTCAAGAGCACAGTTCAGATACAGTGATAAACTATATGAAAAAGAAGATAAGATATGTGAATAATAGACTGAGAGGCCCCAGCATTTGTCTCAAAGGAGTTCCAGAAGAAAAGAATGGAGAAGCCAGTGGAAAAGAAATATCCAAAGAAAAAATAACAGCTGATAATATTTCATAATTGAAGGAAGAAAGCACATACTATGGTGCTGAGCAAGATTTAAAAACAAAACTTCCAGACACATTGAAGTGAAACATTAGAACATCAAAGATAAAGAGAGGCCCTGGCACCTGTGGCTTAGTTGACTGGGCATTGTCCCTGCACTGAAAGTTTGCTGGCTCAGTTCCTGGTCAGGGCGTTTGACGGAGTTTTGGGCTCAATTCTTGGTAGGGGGTATGCAGGAGGCAGCTGATTCATAAGAGCAGACTTATTATCAGCTATGGGACACTTTCTTATCAGCAGAGGGACAATGGGACAATATTTTGAAAAAGAATTTTTTTTTTTGGGGGGGGGGGGACATGCCCCTAGCGGGAACCAAACCCAGGACTCTCTGGTCTGCAGGCCAACACTCCAACCACTGAGCCAAACTGGCCAGGGCAATATTTTGAAAATGTTGAAGGAAAGAAACAAAGAACCCCTTTAATCTAAAATTCTATACCCAGAAAAACTATTCGCAAAGACAAAGTAAAACTGTTTTCAGACATAAAACAATGAAGGAAATGACCACTCACACACTCTCCCTGAAAGAATTAGTAAAGGATGTTCATCAGCCAGAAGAAAAGAGAAACCAAGAGAAAAGATACAATTAATAAGTGCAAAGATAGGTAAACTATGTTGATAAATTTAATTACTGACTGGAAACAAAGTAATTTTTTGTGTGTGTTTAAAGAGGCTCGAACTAAGTTTATAAACAAAAGTAGGAAGGGCAGTGGGTCGGGAAGGGTTCAGTCGTTATTGTTTATCTTTCCCGCCTCAAGAGAGAGAGAGCAAGTAAATTTAGAGTTTGTTGTGAAAGTATACAGATGTGTGTATTAGAAGTTATAGAAGTAGAATCTATAGCAGAGGGATAAAAAGACTATTTAAAAAACTATTAAACTGAAGGCAGGAAAGATGGAAAAAAAGGAAAGAACTGGGTAATAAAAAACACCAAATAATAAAAATAATTCAAAATACATTAGTAATCACAATAAGTATAAAGAGCCTATGAAAATATCAGACGATCAGATTGAACTAAAAACTCAGCTACAATTCTGCTTGTAAAGCACATACCGAAAGGAAAATGATATGGAAAGATTTAAGATGAAAAAAAAAATGAAAAAAAGATATGCTGGGGAAATACTCATCAAGAAAGCTGGCATAACAATATTAATACCAGACAAAATAGCACTTCAGACAGAAAGCGTTAGCGGGGTAAACGGAACACTTCTTTGTAACTTGGGAACATTTCTTCCCACTCTTGATGTTGCCTGTTGCGTGGAAGGAGCACTGTTGTGTAACACCCCTGGCTCTCTCCGCCCTCTCTGTTAGGTGGATTTGGAAACAAGAACTTGACATGTGTAGCTGTGTTCTTCCCTTTTCCTTCTTGGAGCTAGCTGCCATCCGGGGTTCCCTCTGCTCCCTGGACTAAAGTCGCACCTGAGCAGACCCCGTGAGAGGAGCTTGCCCCTGCCCAGCACCGCCTGTGACTGGGTGGGTAACTCTTGGGTTAGTTAGAAGATTCATTTCGTCTTCACACTAACCTGCATGCTTCCTCTTGGCCTTTATCAGTAACAAAGGAGTTAAATGTTGACGTCCAACGGCCTTACTCTTAATTTTTTTGTTTGTTTGTTTGTTTGTTTCTGAACGTGTTCATAACCTGGGCAAGGAAAGATGCCCTTTGCGAGACCCCTCAGAGTCCTCAGCCTACATGATGATAAAGAGAACAGTCCACCCAGAAGATCTAACAGTCCTGAACTTGTAAACTTGTACTTAGTAACATAGTCTTGAATTTAATAAGGCAAAAACTGTTAGGAATATAAAGAGAAGTGGAAAAATCCTTGGTTCTAATGGGAGATTTCAGTAACATGTCTGATATACAGATGGACAAAGCAGACAAAAAACTGTAAGGATATAGATTTGAACACTACAATTAAAAATTTTGATTTTATAATGTACTTTCCTGAATGCAACAAAAGAAAAAAAGTACATCCTTTTTAAGCCCACATAGAACATGAAAAAAAAAATCTATACATTAAGTCAATAAATTTCAAATAATTAATACTGTACAGATTATGTTCCCAGAATATAAGAAAATTAAATTAGAAATCAGCAATTAAGCCCAGCTGGTGTGGCTCAGTGATTGAGCATCGACCCATGTACCAAGAGGTCACTGGTTTGATTCCTGGTCAGGACACATGCCCAGGTTGTGGGCCTGATCCCCAGTTGGGGGCATGCAGGAGGCAGCCAGTCGATTTTCTCTTATTAATGTTTCTCTATCTCTCTCTCTCCCTCTCCCTTCCTCTCTCTCTAAAAATCAATAAAGAAAAAAAAAATATCAACAATTAAAATACTGAAGGAAAAATGTCATACATTTGGAGAATTAAGGAAAAACCCTTGTAAATAACTCATGGGCTAAAGAGGAAATCACAAAAGAACTGACAAAATTTTTAGACCTAAATGACAGTGAAAATACTATGTACCAATGCAGTGGGATGCAAAAGGGGGGGGGGGAGATATATAGTTTTAAATGCATTCATGAAAAAGGCAAAAGATTGTGTAAGCACATGGGTCAGGAAGTTAGGAAAAGAATAGAAAAAACCCGAAGGAAAGAGAAGCAAGGGAATGAAAAAGACAAGAACATGCTATCACAGTAAAGAGCAAAAATGACAAAGAATAGAGACCATCAACAAAACTGAAAGCTATCTACTGGAAAGATGCAGATAAACCCCTCACGAGGACTGATGGAGGAACACACAGGGAAAGCACGATGGCCTTACAGCAGTGAAGGCAGGGACACAGCTGCAAATAGGGGTGAAGGCCTCAGAGCATCCCCAAACAAATTTATATCAATGCCCTTGATGGATAATTTTATAGAAAAATATACATTACTGCCCTGGCAAGTTTGTCAGCGGTTAGAGCGTTGGCCCTCGGACCGATGAGTCACGGGTTCGATTCAGGTCAAGGGCACGTACCTCGGTTGCGGTTCGTCCCGGCCCTGGTTGGGTTGTACGGGAGGCAACCCGTCGATGTGGTTCTATCACATCGATGTTTCTCTCTGTCTCTCTCTCTCTTCCTCCCTTCCACTCTATCTAATGATAGAGAGAAAAATATCCTCAGGTGAGAAATAAAAAAAAAAATGTGTGTATATATATGTATATGTATGTGTATATGTATATATATATATACACACACACACACACACACACACACATTACCAAAACTTATCCAATAAAGAGTAGAAAGCCTAAATACTCACCATTAAATAACTGAATTGCTGGCCAATGTATCAAGCAACAGGCCCAGAGATGTCACAGTTGAGTTTTAGCAAATCTTCAAGGAACAGAAAATCTATGGTATACAAACTCTTTTAAAGGACGAGAAGCTCCCCAGCAATTTTATGAGGTTAATAACATCCTGATATTAAAACCTGACAAGGGAAGTACAAGGGGGGGGGGGGGTGGAATGGCCAGTGTTGCTATTGAGTGTAAATGTGAAACTCTAAATAAAATATTGACAAATTAAGCCCTGGTTGGTTTGGCTTAGTGGTTAGACATCGGCCCGCAGACCAAAGAGTCGTGGGTTCAACTCTGGTCAAGGGTATGTACCTCAGTTGCGGTTCGGTCCTTGGCCCTAGTCAGGGTCGTGCAGGAGGCAGCCAATCGATGTGTCTCTCTCACATCGATGGTTTTCTCTCTTTCTCTCTCTCCCTCCCACTCTATCTGAAGATAGATGGAAAAATATCTTTGGGAGAGAATTTTAAAAAATCTGAATTCAGCAAGATGAAGAAATAATACATAAGCAAGTAGAGTTTTACCCATGGAATGAAAAGATGGCTCAACAGAAATGTAATCCACCAGATTTACAGATTAAAATCCCTGTGATTATCTCAGCAGATACAGAAAAGCCTTCCGTAAAATGCAGCACTTTCATAATGAGCTAAATGAAGTGGGAACAGGATAAATTTAGAGTCTTATGGTAAATCCCTTTATAAAGCAACTTTCATCCCATTTATATCTGGAGTAACTCCAGCTTCTCAAATATTAGAGTTTCTTTTCATAAAGGTTTAGTTGCATGCGAGAACCCAAATATATCCAGAAGCTGTGCCCGATTCTTTGAGACAACACAACCCACAAAGAAACCAAAAAATAATGGTGAACTTGAAGGTGACTGTTTGCTCTTCCCATATTTTGGTTTGGGACAGTTTTACCAGGCAGGTCCTTTAAGTATCCACCTCCTGTGAGGTACCTAAGTAGGATTTCATTTTCCCACCATTTGAGTGTGGTGCCCAACACATGGGTTGGGTGAATGAGGCAGCTGTGACCCAGGGGAGACACGATGTGAGTGTTCCTACCTGTGGTCGGGCATGATCTTAGCCACCGTCCTCACTGGCTCCATTTCTCAGGGACACTCTTCTTTGCAGGTCCAAAGTGAAGACCGTGCACGAACGGATCCCCTTGGCTGGGCTGAGCAAGTTGCCCAGCATCCCTCAGATTGCAAAGGTAAAAGCCAGACCGTGAGGGAAGGTGACTGCCTCTTTGAGCCCAGGCTGGCCTCTGGGGCGGGGGTGCAGGTTCGTCCTGGGCGGGCTTTACCCTTGGAGAGGGGAAGGCCACTGGACTCTTTGACCCTTGCTGCATAAATGGGGGTGGGGGAGGGCTGTTAGCAGACCCTGTCTCTGACATCCTCCCTATCCCATCCTCGCTGCTGAGGCTGCTCCGTATAATCATAGTCTCTGCCCCCAAGTTCGCAGCTAGTTCAGGAGGCAAGGCCTGTGCCGCTGCTCTGGATACTGGGAACTGAGTCAGCCAGGTGGGATGGGAAGGATGGTCAGCCGAGCTGGGTTGGACCCGCACTTTGGGAGCAGGAATGTTGGGCAGAGTCGTGCCCAGTACCTTCAGTGGCCTCGCTTCATCAGGAGACCCCGGGAAGGTTGGTTCTTTCCTGGTCACTCAGCAGCAGAGCCGGAATTCACTGCCCGGCCTCCTGACACCGCAGGTCGTGGCCCCCCGTTTCCTTTCCCCAGTGGGCAAAGGAGCCCAGATGCTCTGCAGGACGTGGCCCCTGAACTGTGTGTTTTCTCCCCGTTTAGGCTTTCTGTGACGACGCAGTGGGACTGAAATTCAGCCCTGTCCTGTACCCCAAGGTGAGACCTTCACCCCTTATCCAGGGCTCTGCAGCTTGGCCTGGATTTGTGCACTGTGGCTCTGGGGAAAGTTTTCTGTCTCTTGGCGGGGCTTTGTGGGGTCTCCGTGACAAATCTCCACGTCTCCCCTCTCCTTGCTCAACCCTTCACGAACTGGTGCGCTGGGAACCCATTGTCAGCCACGCCTGGGTCCGGCCTGCCCGGGTGGGCCCCCAGCTCTGTGGGGGCGGCAGCATCCCAGCTTCTCCCCCGCACTCTGTCCCACAGCCCGGAGGCCGGCGGGGGTGGGGAGTGATCTGCCTCTGGCAGGGGGTGTGGGGGCTGGTCAGCCATCATGGAGGAGTGAGGGGGCAGAAGGCACACCTCCTGTAAAAATGGAAAAGCCAGACTGCGGCTCCTCATTGCCAGTGTTACCGCAGCTCTGAGGCCTGGCAGGCCCCTGCTCGGCCCTAGTGAATACACTGGCTGGATCTCTGTTATCGATTCCTTACGACCGTCCTGATCTTGACCCCGGGTCTGATGTGGGCATGGGGGTAGGAGCGATAAAAACGAAACGAGCCAACAACCCACTCAGGAACAATTACGGCATGACAAGACTGAATCACCCACAGACAGTGAACTGCTTTAGAGGGGCCACGGGCAGGACCCCGTGTACCCACTGCTTCTCCATGAGCCGGCGGGGTCTGGAGAGACGGGGTGCAGGGCTGGGCCGAGCCGGCGCTGTGGGCAGCTGGGGCTGGTTCGGTCCATGCTCCGAGTCCCAGTTCTGACAACCAGGAACCACGGGGTGAAACGTTTGGTGGAGAAGAGTGGCCCTATCCTGGCTGGGCACCCAGAACCCCCTGGAACGAACACCTTAAGTGTTCACGATTGGACAGGACACTCCATTTACCCCTGTGCAGTGGTTGAGCTAACGACGGTCCTCTCCTGCGCAGAGAAGGAGCCGGAGCCCTCCCCTCAGGTGCCTCCTGTCAGCCGTGCGGGCATTCGTGGGCATCCGCGGGCATCCGCGGGCACTTCCCGGTGCTGTGCTGCACTCCACTGAACACCGCCCATCATTCACCGCCCTTCCTTTTATAATTAAAGCTGAATTAGTGCGGTTGAACCAACAGTAAAACCCCATCATAAAGGCCGAACTTAACCCCAAATTGGGCCATGTTTGCTGTCACGTCGAGCCCCCGAGAGCCCTGGATGGCACCCACTTGCATCGCCCTCTCTGACTCGGAAAAGCCTCCTGCCCGGCCAGTGGTGGAGGAGTAGCTGTATTTCCACGTTCTCAGTATGGGAGGCCGGCGTAGGCCGGCGGGGATGTTAATCTGGCCGGGATGTGTGTGTGTTTTTATCAGATTCAGAGTTTAGAACGTTCCTTGGAAGGTCTCCACGGCTGGGTGCCTCTTCCATGCAGGGCACCTGCTCTGGTCCTTGACTCATCCTGGAGCGAGTGGGTGGCTCCCTCCCGGGCCGGCCGGCCATCCTCTTCCGGGGGCAGCTGACAAGGGTCCATCTCCTCCGGGAGCTGAGAGCCTCCCGGGGAGATGTGACCTAACATGGGCCACGTTGCGGCCAACAAGTCGTGCCCAGTCTGCTTCTCCCGTAGCCCAACACAAGGTTGGACCTCTCCGTTTTATTGCAGAGGGTATCCCGATAGCTCCAAATCTCTTCCCCGCAGAGCTGGCTCCACTCTAATCTTTCTGGGGGGTTACCTAGATGATGATGATGATGATGGTGATGATGGTAGCTGCTTGTGCTCAGCACTTTCTGTGCCTGGTCTCAACGAATCTCCACAACCACATATCTCCATTTCATGGATGGGGAAACTGAGGCCCAGAGAAGTTAAGTGGCTCACTTGAAGCCATACGGGTAAAAGCAGCAGATTCAAAATTAGAGTCTAGTGTTTCTGACCCTCACATACCAATTCTTTGAAGCGCAATAGAAAATTAGATCGAACCAGAGGTCGTTTTTTTTTTTTGCCCTTTGCATGTTGTGTTAGGGTATGTTCCTCCTAACGGGGTCTCCTCTTAGACCTGTTATTTAGAGGTGAGGGGGTTAAAGTCCCAGCAGGAGCTGTGCCTCGTCAAAGTCATCTTGCTGGTTACAGGGGGAGATGGGGCCAGTGTCATCCTCGCTTACCAGTCTTGGGGGCCTGGGTTCACTTTTTACACCACAGGTCGAACAGTGGACTCAGTTCCCCGAGTCCTGCTGGACTCTGTGTGCCCCGTTCTTGGCTGGCACATCTGGATGGGAATGGAATGAGTGATCCAGAGGTTTGGCCACTACCGGGGGACGCTCAGGTGTTGAGACCCAGCTAAGCCCTTTGGCGCCGCATCCTGACCACGTACTTCTTCCTTCACCCTTTCTCCGCTTCTCCGTGTGTGGGTGTCCCGTGTCGGGAGCACACGCTTTCCGTTTCCCTCCACATTAATAAACAATCCGATTTTCCTTCCCACCTTTTCCAGGCCTCCCACATGATTGTGTCCTATGATGAGCACGATGTCAAGAACACATTCAAATTTGGGGTCATTTATCAAAAAGCCAGGCAGGTAAGCACCACAAATTCATACTGGTCACTATATCCTGTGGTTTCTCACTGGGGACTCGTTTTTTCTTCCCCCAAGTACAGGAGTCCTGTACTAGGTTCTTAAATAGTCTGAATACAACAACGTCAAGGATGAGTTAGACCGGAGTGGGCTGAATTGTCCAAGTAGGCTCCTCCTCACACAGAGGCCTGCGAGGCCTTTGCTTGGTAATGTAGCTTTCCATACAGCAGATCCCAATTCTTCCTGGCCACCTCAGCTCATCATTATCTACAGGCTGTTGATCACAAGAAAAATCAGGCGGAGTAGGGGGAATGGATTAGCCCACGCTGCTCTCTAGCCTTTTCCCCCCAGACTTTGTCGTGCAGGGGCCAGTTGTGTGCATTTCTTACCAAATCCGAGTTCAGCAACGTCATGTTTGGGGCTGGAATGCAGCCATGGCAGAAGTATTTACACCATGGTAATTGGCAAACACCAGGGCTTCTGTTTCTCAATTTGGAGAGTTGGTTGTTAAAAATTGACCAGTGCACCACTACTCCCCCTCCTCTGTCTCTTTTAGCACTTAATGCCACTTTGGAGTTAGTTGGACGAGTAATGTTTCTCAAAGTGTGTTCCGTGAGACACAGTCTGGTGAAGTATTCTGTGAACAAATGATGTGGAGGGGGTTCAGTTGTATAGACACATTTTAAAGCCTCTATGAACCTCCAAGGTAAAGACTCTATTACTTTGTTGAATATTTATTAACATCCTGAGAAGTAGCCCGTTGAACATGTTGGTGTTTCCTCACCTGGTTTGATGAAAGAAGGTTCCATACTCGTTTTATCTTTGTATCATGCAGGGTCCTAGCATGATGACTTTGTATAAATACACTCAGCTTTTTTCATATATGAATTAGTGAATGAATAAAAGTTTTGGCCCTAATGGTAGGTTGATAGTACCTTTCATTATTATCTGTGGGTCCCCCCAACCCGTGTGTATGTGTGTGTCTACATAATAGCTGACTTCCTTTTCTGAAGATATTAGGCCACAAGAGACATGTGTTCGCTTAACAACACTCTAATTAAGTGAAGAGTTTAGGAGCTGAATCGTAGATAAATCATGTAATTTAAGGGAGATTATTCAGATAGTCACTCTGATTGTGTTCACATATTGCATTTTTATTTTGTACAGCTCTGCTAATGTAACCCACCTAATTAGAGTTCCTTGCTTGTGAAATTTACCAAAGCAGATCTCATAAGGTGATTACAATCCAGTGTTCCAGCAAAGTTACAATTACTGAATATTAACCATCCACCTCTGAGAAGGAGTCTGTCTGTTGTTTATGTACCTGATGCTGCTGAGGCAAGGTGGGGGTGTGCAGGGAGATAACTCTCTAGAAACAAAACAAAACTTGGCAGCCCAGCCAGTGTGGTTCAGTGGCTGAGTGTCAACCCCTGCACCAAGAGGTCCCGGTTCGATTCCTGGTCAGGGCACATGCCCAGGTTGTGGGCCTGATCCCCAATGGGGGGCATGCAGGAGGCGGCCGATCGATGTCCTCTCTCGTCAATGTCTCTATTTCTCTCTCCCTCCCCCTTCCTCTCTCTCTAAAATCAATAAAGAAAGAAAGAAAAACTTGGCATATTGTTGTTTTGCAAACCTACAGCCTGGGGACATTTAATATGAACATTAGTTACATGAAAGCCTTGTGCTGGTCTGAGGATATAAATAAGTCCCATCTAACTCTTCTGTTTGTCAGGACTGTGCTAAGCATTGTGGGGTATATAAGTGATGACTGAGACCCTGCCCTGAGTGCATGGCCTGTACAAAAATAAAGATAATGCTGCCCTGAGCAGTGGTTAGACTGCTGGCCCACAGACCAAAGGGTGTCGGGTTCGATTCCTAGTCAGGGGCATGTACCTGGGTTGCAGGTTCGATCCTGGCCCCGGTCAGGGCTCGTGCGGGAGGCAATCAATTGAAGTGTCTCTCTCACATCAGTGTTTCTCTCTCTTTTTCTCCCTGCCTCTCTCCCCTTCCTCCCCCCTTCCATTCTCTCTAAAAAAAATCAATGGAAAAAATATCCTCAGGTGAGGATTAAAAAAAAAAAAAAAATATAGATAATGCCAACACCAGGTTGGGTGTAAATCTGGAGAGAGCACGAGCTGGATGGTTTTCCCAGTAGAAGATGTGCGTTGCCTGGAGGTATTCTCCTGCGTTCAGCCTCGTGACCTGGGGCAGACGAATGCTGGGCCAAGGCTGAGAAGCCTTCCCGGTGTGCTGTGGGGCTCTCTCTGGGAGGGGCTACATGGCACATATTTCAGACTTCATGAGCTATACTGTCTCCGTTACAACCACTCCACCCTGCCTTTGTAGTGTGAAAGCAGCCAAAGACACTAGGTAAGTAAGTTGGCCTGACTGTGTTCCAATAAAACTTTATTTATAAAGACAGGCAGCAGGCCAGACTTGGCCCGCAGGTCCTAGTGTGCCGACCTCTGCTGGAAAGCGGTGTGTCCCAAACTGCAGACATTCACCAACCACACTCAGTATCTGCATCACAGTATCTGTATGGCACTGTTACAATTTTTATCACATCTCTCCTATAAACTGCTTAATATTTTCTTTAAAAGTTTTTTTTTTCCAACTTAAAAGCATTTATTTCTAAAGGAAATTTTATATCAATGCTCTAATTGGAAAATTGCTATCCTTTGCATGAAACAAAGGTAATTCTAAACAGAAATGCTATAAAAATAAAGTTGCTGAAATCTAACTAGATTCTGTTACCTGGTGAAGGCTTGGAACCTCAGGTCTGCTGTTTGTTGAATGTGGGCATTAGGAGATGTTGAAGAATCACCTACTAGAGACTCTGTCCTTGAAGTGAGTGTGCAGACGGGTGTCTATGTCCCCTGAGGCTGCTCGTTGCCATCTGTGGATGTTTGCAGGTTGTGCCACTGTGGCCAGAGCCTGCTGATCGGGTGGGGCCGCTCGGTGATCTCAGCCTGTCACAACTGTCACTACAGTTTTCAATTTAAAAAATTATTAAAGTTTAAATTTTTAGATGTTTGTAGATGTACATGCAGTTGTAAGAAACAATATAGACCCAGAAACATGGAAGTAGGGTACAGACTGACAACCCTCAGAAGAAGGGGTGGTGGGGGGAGGGAAGAGATAAACCACAGAACTTATATGCGTGTATGCATAACCAAAGGACATGGACAACAAAGCCGGGGACGGGGCGGGGGGGATGGGGAGGAGGGTGTCAATGGGGTAAAAAAGGAGAAACACCCGTAACAAAAATAAAATAAATAAATAAATAAATAAATAAACTATTGTGCAAAGCAAAAAAAAAAAAAAAAAAAGGAAGAAACAATATAGAGAGATCGGTGTACTCTTTACCCAGTTTCCCCCACAGCCAATGTATAGTGCAGTACCACAGCCGTGCAATCCATAGGTCTTATCCTGATCGCCCCAATTTTATTTTATTTATTTATTTATATAAAAATATGTTTTTATGGATTGTCTTTAGAGAGACAGGAAGGGAGCCAGAGTTAGAAAACATCCATTGGCCGCCTCCTGCATGCCCCCTACTGGGGATCGAGCCTGCAACCTGGGCATGTGCCCTGACAGGAATCGAACTGGGACCTCTCAGACCATGGGACACTGCTCCATCCACTGAGCCACACCTGCTGGGCCTGATCTCCCCAATTTTATATGTACTTATCTCTGTGTGTATGTGTGTGTGTGTATTTCGTTGTATATAATTTTATCACATATTTAGGTTACACAGTCAAGATACAGAATTCCATCATCCTTTTGCTTTTAGAATATCTTGTATTGCCTTTTTGTAACCATGCTATCTCCTCCTGCCTCTGTGCTCCCTTCCCCCTCCCATCCCTAACCCTTGGGAACTACTAATCTGTTCTCCAATTTCTAAAACTTCGTCATTTCAAAAATTACATCATACGGTGTATACAACTTTGGGATTGGCTTTTTTCCACTTAGTGAAATTCATCCAAGTGCTGGAGTATATCAGTAATTACTTCCTTTTTATGGTTGAGTAGTATTCTATGGTATGTGTGTACCACAGTCTGTCTGACCATTCACCCACTGATGGAAAAGCTGGATTGCTTCCAGTTTGGGCTGTTATAAATAAAGTTGCTTTGAACACTCGTAGCCAGGAATTTTGTGAGCATACATTTTTATTTCTGTGGGATAGCTGCCCAGGGGTCTGATTGCTGGGTTATATGGTAACTATATGTTTAGTTCTGGAAGAAACTGCAAACTGTTTTTTAGGGCGGTTGTTCCATTTTACATTCCTACAAGCAACATTTGATTGAAACGTTTGATTGATCCGTGATCTCCACATCCTTGCCAGCATTTGGGGGTGTTACTATGTTTTATGTTAGCCATTCTGATAGATGTGTAGTGATAGCTCATTATATTTATATTTTATTATTATTTTAATTTGCATTGCTCTCATGGCTAATGATGTTGAACATCTTTTCTTTCTTTTTTTTTATCCTCACCCGAGGACATTTTTACCTTTTTTTGTTCAGATAGAGTGGGAGGGAGAGAGAGGAAGAGAGAGAGAGAGAGAAACATTAATGTGAAAGGGACACATCGAGTGGCTGCCACCCGCACGACCAATCAGGGCTGGGGACAAAGTGCAACCGAGGTACGCGCCCTTAGTGGGAACCGAACCCGGGTCTCTCTGGACCGCAGGCCGAAGCTCTAACTACTGAGCCAAACCGGCCAGGGCGATGTTGAACATCTTTTAACGTGCTTATCTGCCATCTGTATATCCTCTCGGGTGAAATGAGTGTTCGAGTCTTTTGTCTTTATCATTAGCATAGTAATAGAAACTTGAAAATGAAGGTTCATCACAATAGATCCTACTCCTTAAAATAGAAAGCAGAAGAGGAGGCTATTTACAACCAAGTCTTCTGTCTCTCTGAACAGCACAGAAATACTACAAGAGAGAGAAACTAGATTGAGATGGCTGACTGTTGACTATTTCCAATTGGATTATTTTTACTGTTCCGTTAAAACATTTTTTGTAACAGCTTTTTTGAGGTATAACTCACATACCATACAATTCGCAGTGGTACATGGACTATATCTGAATAAAGTATACAATTCAGTGGTTTGTTGTATATTCACAGAATTATACAACTGCCACTATTATCTGACTCCAGACCATTTTCAACCCCAAAAGAAACTCCATAGTCATTGGCTGTCACTCTCCATCACCACTCGCTCCAGCTCCTGTTAACCACAAATCGACTTTCTGTCTCCAAGGGTTTTCCTGGTCTGGACATTTTATATAAATGGGACCATGGGATGTGGCTTTTTGTGCCTGTGCCTTTCAGTCAGCATAACGTTGTCAAGATTCTCGTAGTAGGAATCAGTACGTGGTTCCTGTTTGTGGCCGAAGGGTATTCCATGGCGTGGACACACCACACTGTGTCCTCATGTGTCAGCTGCTGGAAAATGGCTGTTATGAAGAATGCTGCTGTTAACACCCGAGTGCGAGTTTTCGTGTGGACTTAGGTTTCTATTTCTCGTGGATATGTTCTTAGGAGTGGAGTGGCTGGGTCTTACAGCGACTCTGTGTTTCGCCTGCTGAGACACTGCCAGCCTGTTTTGCCAACTGAGGGCACCGTTTTACATTCCCACTGGCTTATGTGGGTTCTGATTTTTCTACAGCCTCACCAACACTTGTCTTTCTTGTTGCTTCTAGCCATCCTTGCGTGTCAAGTGGCATCTCATTGTGGTGTTGATTCCTATTGAGTTTTTTTTTTATTGATTAATTTTTGTTACAGATGATTCTCCTTTTCCCCCCCACTGATTCCCCCCTCCCTCTCCCCTCCCTGCCCCTTCCCCAGATTGTTGTCCATGTCCACTGTTCATGCATACATGCGTATAAGTTCTGTGGTTCATCCCTCCCCCACCTCCCCACTCCTTAGGGGATTGTCAGTCTGTACCCCGCTTCCGCGTCTCTGGGACTACCCCATTCCTCAAACTGTTATGTTCATTATATTCCACAAATAAGTGAGATCATATGAAATTTTTCTTTCTCTGTTTGGCTTTTTTCACTTAGGATGATACTTTCCAGGTCCCTCCATGTAGTCTCAAAGGATAAGAGATCTTTGAGTTTTAAGAGTTCTTTATATATTCTAGATAGGAGTCCCTCACCAGAAGCCCAGCTATCAATTTTTCATTGATGGATTGGTTTTTGGTATCAGATCTAAGAACTCTGTGCTTCACCTTTGCTTGTTGTACTGACCAGCAGCTTTTGTTTGAAGAGAAAGTCCTCATTAACCAGCCCCCAAATCCAGGTCCATGAGCATCAGAGCCACTGGATGGCGATGGTGTGGGCGATGGGGAGAAGGAGAGAAAGGGACCAGGTAACTAGGCAACAGCATTCCTTCCTTTGGCACCAAGAAGGCTTCTTCTAACTCCTGCCCCTGGCCTGTTTCTCTTCCAGACTCTGGAGGAGGAGCTGTTTGGGAATAATGAGGAGAGCCCAGCTTTCAAGGAGTTCTTGGGGCTGCTGGGGGACACCATCAGCCTGCAGGACTTCAAAGGGTAGGTTTCAGCCAAGTGATGGCTCCGGCCCCATGGATGAGGACGCGGAGGAAGGGTGAGGGTTGACGGCTGAGTTTCAGGGAGGGCGCGTGAGAGTTAAAAACACACACAAGAGCCCGGCTGGTGTGGCTCAGTGGTTGAAATTTGACCAATGCACCAAGAGGTCGCTGGCTTGATTCCTGGTCAGGGCACATGCCCAGGTTGTGGGCCTGATCCCCAGTGGGGGGCATGCAGGAGGCAGCCAATTGATGTTCTCTCTCATCCATGTTTCTATCTTTCTATCTCTCCCTTCCTCTCTCTCTCAAATCAATAAAGAAAAAGAAAACACACACATACACATACACACAAGGGGCCTGGTCGGTTTGGCTGAGCAGTTAGAGCGTCGGCCTGCGGACCAGTGAGTCATGGGTTTGATTCCGGTCAAGGGCACGTACCTCTGTTGCGGTTCATCCCCGGCCCTGGATGGGGCCATGCGAAAGGCAACCAATTGATATGTCTCTCACATCGATGTTTCTCTCTCTCTCTCTCTCCCCCTCCCTCCCTCCCACTCTATCTGATGATAAATAGAAAAATATCCTCTGGTGAGGATTAAACACACACAAGAAACACAGGATTGTTTTTCAGCAAACGATCATCACTCCTTCCCAAGGGATCGGTGGTCCAGGCGATAATCCAGGATGGCAGGTTATCTGAAAGGCATTGACAGCGGCCTCAGGATGCATGAGGAAATCGCTGCACCCCACGTGCGCCTTCCTAATTACGTTTGGCTCCGAATAAGTGAAATGAATCCACCATTCCTATCGCTCACCTGCCAGCACTCAGGAAAGAGGGCCCTGTGCTGTTTGGGGGGAATGACCCATTTTAGATAATATGCAGAAAGAATGAATAATTAAGAGTTGGTAGAAATACAATCCCCCCCCCCCCCCCCCCCGCAAGAACCTTTGTAACAGTCTGTGGTTCTCTAAGTGGACAGAAAGAATATAGGAACCATAGCTGGGAAAACTCCGGTCTTTGATTTTCCTTGGCAAAGGCAACATTTGGGAAGGGCCTTCAGACCTGGACAGAGAATCCCCCACCCCAGCCGCCCAGTGAACGGGGTCATGTGCTCCCTGCCTGTCAAGTAGTAGGTGTCCAGTGATCCCCTTTTTCCTGCTCCCTTCTCTCTCCTCTTTCCCCCTCTCCCTCTGTCTCCCTTTCCCTCAAGGGCATCGGGCTGTCCGGAGTCAGTCGTACACGGGTTACAGTTCGCCTCCACCACTTACTAGCTCTGTGACCGGACGAGCCTCAGCTTCCTCATCTGTAGAGGGAGGCAAAGGCAGTACTGAGCCCACAGGTGACTGGGGATTAGCACAGGCAATGTCCGTGAAGCACTCAAGCGGGAGGTCATCTTTGCTCCTGTTGTCATGCCACCGCCCATGACGCTGAGATGCCATCTTTGTGGGGTGCACCCTGACTTCACAGCTTCTAAACTGTGAGAAAAGTGTGCCTTAGAAGAGATGAAACAAAGTGTATTACAACCAGGGAGGACCCTGGAGATCATGTCATCCTCTCTCTGTGTTAAATAGAGAAAGGAAACAGGGACCCAGAGAGATGAAGCGATGTGCCAGAGTCGTGTGCTGGCTCGGGCAGGAGCAGGTCTAGACCCGGGGGTGCCTGACTCCCGGTCCAGTGTGCTTTCTGGATCATATTACAGCGCCTGGGGGGAGGCCTGATGTCCAGGGTCTATTATTTATTATTATTTTAATCCTCACCCGAGGTTATTTTTCTCTTTATTTTCAGATAGAGTGGGAGGGAGAGAAAGGGAGAGAGAGAGAAACATTGACATGAGAGGGACACATGGGCTGGTTGCCTCCCGCACGACTCCAACCAGGGCCGGGGACGAACTGCAACCGAGGTACGTGCCCTTGGCTGGAATCGAACCCGCGACTCATTGGTCCACAGGCCGATGCTCTACCGCTGAGCCAAACTGGCCAGGGCTAGGGTCTATTTTTATTTCATTTTCTTAAAGGAACCTGTGTCTCTTCTTCATATCAAGAAAGAAGGGGCAGCTCCCAGAAGCGCGCCCGGCCCCTCAGGTTCTTTCCTGCCGTGAGGAGATAGCCAGAGAGGGACCTCCTGGGATGCCTGCAGGCTGGGTGCTGCCTGGGTTAGGTCTCCACGCCAGACGCTGGCTGCGCAGAAGTCAGGCACCTGTCACCTTTCCAGGCTGACTCTGGATGTTCCCACCACCATCCACCAGGATGGCCGGTTGCCCTGGCTCTGGCTGAGGACTTGGACAGGGCCTTGCGGAGAGCAGAGGCTTGTATCTAGCCTTGGGGGCCACTGACACCTGGGACAGCATTTGTCCAGGACTGTGGGCGGATGACGTCCCTTCCTACATGACCCTCTGGTATGGAGGGGACACAGCCAAAGCTTGACATGGAGGTTCTGCCTTTGTCTTTTAATTTTTTTTTTCTTTATTGATTTTAGAGAGGAAGGGAGCGGGAGAGAGAGATAGAAACGTCGATGAGAGAGAACATCGATTGCCACCTCCTGCATGCCCCCCACTGGGGATCGGGCCCACAACCTGGGCATGTGCCCTGACCAGGAATCGGGAATCAACTCTTGGTTCATGGGTTGGGGCTCAACCATTGAGCCACACCAGCCGGGCTGCCTTTGTCTTTTAAATATGGGTTTGTGGTGGAACGCCAGGACTCTTCTGCTGAGAAGAGCCAACTACCTGCTTTCTCGTGTGTGGTCTCGGCCCTCACCTGCCCACGTCCTCGTGTTCTCAGGGAAGGCTGCCCGCGTGGCCCGCTAACCCCCCCTCTCCCCGGGCACTTGCCCTGTTTTTCACTGACAGTTTCCGAGGAGGCCTGGATGTGACCCACGGACAGACGGGGGTGGAGTCGGTGTACACGATATTTCGGGACAGGGAGATCATGTTTCATGTCTCCACAAAGCTGCCGTTTACTGAGGGAGACGCCCAGCAGGTAACCTGGGGAAGGGGGGGTCTGGGAGCCCGGGGCATGCGAGGTGAGAGCCTGCTTCTGGTCCCATTACCTGAGGGACTGCCACCCCCCGACAAGAGGCCAGTTGTTCAGCTGTGTTCTTCTCATCAAAGCCTGTTCTGTGGCGTTATCTCGCCGAGGCCGCCCGTCAGTGCTGCTGACGTGGGGCAGGACACAGGGCCGGTGGCTCTCCCTTTGACCAGGGCAGCGGCAGCTCGGCCTGGTTAAAAGACTGTTTCCCACCTGACTGGGGCCGAGCTGGGAGCAGAGCCCGACTGCCCAATCACGTAGGGTGGAGGCTCTGCCCTTCGTGGTATGTGATTCCGGGCAAGCAGTTAAGCTGGTGGCCTCATTTTTCTCATCTGTAAAATGGGGATAGCACCACGTACGTCGGAGCATTGCTGTGGGGATCCCGTACAGTTCTGCACGGAGGGCTCAGTGTGACGCAGGCCTGTGGCAGGCTTCCTCCCTAACAGCTGGTCAGTATCCAGGCTGCTAGGCTCTCGCCCCCTCCCGCCCCGGCCGAGTCAAGCTGGTCAAGCCCCCACGGCCCGGTTCCTGTCTCACAGCCTCTCTCAGCTCAGCTGCCCGGGCAGAGTGCAGCTCTTCCCCCACCCAGGGAAGCCCGGATGAGCCCTCCGCGGCCAGGGTTTTCCCGCTCACCCCCCATTCCCTGCATCTGATAGCTGCGCGCCCCCGGGGGGCCTGGATTTTTTTCTCATTGAGCCCCGAAACCAAGCGCTGGTCCCTGGCTGTCCCACTCTTGCACCTTTTCGTCGGTAGGGAGAGAAGAAGGAAGGTAGGCCTTTCGCCAGACGCTGACCCACCAGACACTGACCACCCGCTTCTGAGCAGGGAGCTGGGGAGGGAGCACAGATGTCATGTTGTAAACATAGTGCTTGGCTTCTTTGGAAAAAAGAGGAAATTGGCAAATGAGACTGTGATTTGGCTCTAAAATAACTACTGAATGTTCCGGAGACAAATGGGAGCAGTATTCCTTTGTGTCCAAGTAGGTTTTCTCTGTCTTTCACCTTCAGGCCCTGGCCCCTCCGCCGCTCCGCCGCACCCCGCTGTGGCTGAGGGAGGGGCCGGGCTCTCTGTCAGGCTCCCCTGTGTTCAGTGGGAAGCATGGGGAGACAGGCTGTTGGCAGGTACTGACTAAACATTCCTTTTCTCTTCCCAAGAAATGGGATGATGTGCATAGAATAAGTGAGATAATTTGTGAAAAAGTGCCCAGCACCAGGCTCCATATATAACAGGTGCTCTGTGAGCAAGAAGCTCAGAGTGAAGCATGGGGCCTGCATACAGTAGGTGCTTAATAAAGGAGCAATGCCTGGGTGTACCTCACCAGGACTTGGTGTGCAGGAGGGCCTTAACATTTGGAACCATGCGTGTGAAGGCCCAGCATGGCTCCTGCCACACGGTAGGTGCTTGGTGACTGAGGTCACCTGTGAAGACACCTGGCACAGTTTGGGGTATTGAATCGGGGTTGGATCCCCCCACCCCCCTGTGACGTCTGCCAAGCCATGTGGCCCATGTGTCTCTGAGCATGGCTCTTCTCCCCTTTGGCATAGAATGATCTGGCCCCTCATCCCTGCTCATCCACATTTCCATCCGGAGTCCCCGCCCATCTTCTCTTCCAGGAAGCCTGCTCAGATTCCCATCAGGCCTCAGACGTTGCCCCTTCCCTGCCCCCGGCCCCCCAGTGTCAGGCATTTAGCACTTGCTGGCTGGGGGCTTTGTTCCTGCTCTCAGGTCGCCTCACCTGTGTTTATGTTTCTCCTGGATTAGTGACAGGCTCCACCAGGGCAAAACCTGGGCCTCTACTTTTACCTCTTCTCCCCGAGTCAGGGCTCTGCGCACCGCGGAGCTCAGGGAGATGCCTGCCAGCCCCTACCTAACAACTTGGGCAGCTTCCCCATTTCCCCCCTTGTGGATGGCTTCTAAAAGTTAAAATGAAAAACTCCCTGGAGAGCGAGGCCTCCGAGTTCCAGGGTGTATGTATAAAGATAGAATAATGAGGAATTTCCTGTATAGATCTGTGCTGCTTTCAGGATGTTCCCGACCGGCTCTTAACAATGGGACCCTTTTTGTTTAGCTCCAGAGAAAGAGACACATTGGGAATGACATTGTGGCCATCATCTTCCAAGAAGAAAACACACCGTTTGTCCCAGATATGATTGCCTCCAACTTTTTACATGCCTACATCGTGGTGCAGGCTGAGAGGCCGGGCACAGACGCTCCGGCCTACAAGGTAAGGAGAACGTCTGCTCGGAGGAAGCAGCGACCCAGACACCTCCCCTACTCTGCGGATTCAGTGATGCCAGGGAACACCAGCTCGCACTGGTTCCTGCTGTTCTCCCAGGCGTCACTCTTAGCTTTGGTGTGACTGATTTCCCGCGGCTCTCAGGTTTCTGGGATTTGGGGACTAGACCGGCTGTGGAGAGCACCCCCTGAGGTCATCTCCTCCATCTAGTTCCCTCCAGGCTCAATAGCATCGAACGCAGGGGTTGAGGAGCCCGGGTGCTCCCATTGGTAAGGCCATTTGCTAGAGTGAGGCGGAGCCAGAGGGGAGAAAGGAAAAGCAGAGAGGACTGTCAGGAAAGGGAAAGGAAGGAGGCTGGGAATGAAGGAAAGAAAGAAAAAGAGGTGTTTATGGTAAGTAGGGTGGACAGCAAGGGCCTAGTAGACCCCAGCCGACACTCTGACCGCTGAGCCAAACTGGCCAGGACTTTTTTTTTCTTTATTGATATTAGAGAGAGAGAGAGAGAGAGAGAGAGAGAGAGAGAGAGAGAAATATCAAAGAGAGAGAACATCAATTGGCTGCCTCCTGCATGCTCCCACTGGGGATCAGGCTCACAACCTGGGCATGTGCCCTGACCGGGAATTGAACCAGCAACCTTTCGGTGCATGGATTGACGCTCAACCACTGAGCCACACTGGCCGGGTTGATGTTATATAATTATTATATTGGTACAAAGCCAGATAGATATATTAAGTGCAAAATTCACACCAACTTTAGATCCAAGTATGAGTCTTCACAAAAAAACACCCCACACTCTCTCCTGTTGAGGAGAGCTGCCTTCTTGCCATGAACATTCATGTGCATGTTCTCTGTCACTGAGCAGTGTTAGCTGAAAGGTTAGAGAAGCCACGCTTTGGCCATCTCCTTGAGGGCTACGGGCTCGGGCTCACCTGCTTTGGCAGAAATGGGCGTTCACTTCCAAGGGCTGCTGGTGGAAGCAGGTCTGATTCATTCCCTGCCCGCTGTGTGCCAGGGGCGGGGCACATGGAGGGATGCTCAGAACCCGCCCTCAGGGAGGAGGAAGAGCCAGTGAGTGCGTGCAGCCCCTGGGCCGCTCCAGCAGCCAGCAGAGGCTGAGACTCCTGGTCAGGACCCCAGGGGAAGCCGGGGGAGGGAGGCTTCCAGGCCCGGCCCGGCAATCGCGTACATGTGTGTGGCTTGTCTGCTAGGCCTCTGCTGGCAGAGTGGAGCCTCCTGTGGACGTTGAGTATTTGCTTTTGGTTTTTGATTGGAAATGGAGCTCAGCTAACTGGCTTCTCCACTTTCCCAAGAACTTAGCAGCAATACAGAGAAAAATCTGAGGTCCAACTTGACCAGGTCTTCCCAGCCACAGGCTGTGGTCCAGGTAAAAGTACTTCGTTCAGAGAGGTGGTGAGAATCAGAGAAGCAGGGAAGTAGGACTCAGGGGCAGAGCTGGGCTGTCCCTGGGGTGTGGGACACTGTGCTTCCTGTCAGGAAACATCGAGGTTGGAAGGCGAGGCCTGTGAATGGGGCCAGGGAGGGAGACCAGCCTCCCAAGGTGCTCCCCAAACCTCTGTTCACCCACACCCCAGGCGAGCCTCAGGTGATGAGCGGACGGAGGGGGACCTGGTTAGATCCCTCGGGGTCCAGGGTGGAATGAGACCTTAGCTGACCCTTGCAGGCTTAGGGGCTACAGAAAAGGAGGGCGAGTGAGGTTTCCCCAGGGGCTCAGCAGTGCCCCCGGAGGCCCCCACGGGGAGGACAAACAACAGGAAAGAAGAGGAAGGGAGGGATGGGATGGGAACCTGCGGAAAAGGTTCCTGATCTCAAGTCCCGGGAGCCTGGGGTTCTGGTCCCGAGCCTGCCTCTGCCGGCTGTGTGACTTCGGGCCAGTTCCTTCTCCCCCTGGGCCTCTGATTCTGTCTGTGAAACGAGGAAGTTGAACTGGACGACCTCAGAGTTCCCTCCAGCCCTGATGTGCTCCGAAGGGGCAGGAGGGAGAGTTGAGAAACAGGTGTGTGTGTGTGTGTGTGTGTGTGTGTGTGTGTGTGTGTGATGGATTAAGAAATGGTTTGGGGGACTCTATAGTATGTCAGGTGTCCTTTACTAGGTGCATATTAGTAGGGGAAGTAAAAGGAAGTAAAAGGAAGAAAAGGGTGACAATGGTTACGTCTCTGCAGGTGCTGGCTCCATGCCAGGCGCTGAGTAGGCCCTTAGAGAGTCTTCTTGAATCCTCACAGGCCCCTGGCCAGGCAGGGCCTCTTACTAGCCCTGTTTTACAGGGCGGGGGTGGTGGGAATCAAGGCAGAGGGTTTAAACCGCTTCGGACCTGGAGTCCCCCTTGTCCAGGCTGCCGGGCGGCAGCACGGAGCCGTGGGAGCAGGTGAGGTGGCGGCCGGGCTGGGGTGTCACGAAATGTCCCAGTGGACTGATCTCCAGGCTGGAAGGCAGTTCCAGCGGAGCCATCGCCGGGCTCCCTCCTCTCCCTGCCTGAGGCCACCTGTCCCCAAAGCCCTGTGCCAGTCTCAGGAGTCTCACGTGAAGCGGATCATGGGAGGGGTCCGGGCTGGGCGCCCCTTCCCCTCACTGCTGATGCATGGCCCGGCGGTTCTCCGGGACTCCAGGGCACCCTGGGGGGGTCTTTGAGTCTGCACCCTGCGAGGTGCCTGCCTGCTGGTGCACCCTCCTCACACTCCCCAGGCCGCCTTTCGCTTTCCAGCCTTGCGGTGTCTCCCCAGAGCACCCTGCTGCCCGAGCCCTGCCGGCCGCGCTGAATTTAGAAAACGGGAAGGTGGGGCCCTGCAGAGGCAGCTTCTGCTTTCAGCCCAGCAACCCAACCGTCCCCCAGAGGAGGAAGGGACAAAGGCCCAGCGCTCTGTCGGAAAGGGGTCAGGACAGGGAACACAATGCGGGCGGAGAGTGAATGGCTATCACAAGGAAGGATCCGTCCCCTTGTGGCTGCTGCCGTGGTCGTGTCTGTCTGGGACACCTGGTGGATTTAAAACATATATGAAGCCATTTACCCAGCCGGCGCAGACCGCTCTGATGCAGGCCTGGGAGGGGGGTGTCCAGGTGGGAAGAGGGGAGGGCTGGGCCTGGCCTCTGGCCTTGTCCGTCTGCAGCCTGTCAGGGGCCTGCCCACCACCCCCTCCTCAGATTCTGGCTCTACGGGTGGAATTCTTTTTTTTTTTTTTTTTTTTTTTTATATCCTCACCAGAGGATATTTTTCTGTTTCTCTTCAGATAGAGTGGGAGGGAGGGAGGGAGAGAGAGAAACATCGATGTGAGAGAGACACATCGATTGGTTCTCTCCTGCACGACCCTGACCAGGGCTGGGACCGAACCACAATCAATATGTGTGCCCTTGACTGGAACTGAACCCACGGCTCATTGGTCCGCGGGCTGACACTCTCACCACTGAGCCAAACTGGCCAGGGCAGTGGGCGGGATTCCTGACTTGTGCCGTGGACACATGGCGGGTGGTGGTGGGGACTGTTTGGCGGCTGGAGCCAGCCAGCAATCACATCAGCCTGCTAGATCCTGGTTCCTGACTGTGGTCACTGCAGCTCGGCCTGCAGACAGCTTCGAGCTTGGGGAGAGCGAGCCTGGAGCTTGGCATTGACCCGCCCTCTCCTGCTCCCTTCCCCGCAGACCCAGGCAGGGCCTTTCCTTGGCCTGGCTCCGAGCTGCCTGCTCACCGGTCCGCCGACTCTCAGCATCTGCCCTACTTCACAGGCTAGGCGCTGGCGGGGTGCCAGGGCCAGGCTCCCGCCAGCAGCTGCCCGCCTGGGGAAGGGAGAGGGCAGGGTCTCCAGAGAGGCCTGCAGTCTCCTGGGCCGAGAACGGGTGAAGCCAGGGCGTCTGCGTGCAGGGGAGATGGAGGTGTGGGGCCTGTCCTGAGCCTGGGAGACCCCCTGCAGAACATCTTGGTGCTCTCACCCCATTAATTCAGGCCTCGCCAGGCTGGCCAGAGGTGCACACCCACCCTGAGCCTGGTGCGCCCCCTGCAGGGCACAGCATACCTGATGTCCTCCACCCCCAATACCCAGCCTGGGCCCTGCACGGTGAGTTCAGGCTTCGCCCAGACTGACTGACCCTGTGCGTGGGGGCAGGGTTTCCGAACACTGGAGAGCCCGCTGCACAGAAACTCTCAGGAGCATTTAACAGCTGCAGCTCCCGGGCTCGGCCTCAGCACTGCTGGTTCAGTAGTCCGGGGTGGAGCCCTCCATCGGTATCTATTGTCTAAACACTTGAGGTACGGCCAGGTTTGGGCGTCAGTGCTGTGGGAAGAACCCCAGAGCAGGGTCTGGATTCTCTTCATCTCTGTGGCTTGTCACCCGTGTGCCTTTGAGGGGTCACTTCACGTCTCTGAGCACGTTTCCTCCTCAGTGAGACAGGACGAGTAGTTCTCACCACGCCGTGTCCGGAGGCTCCGCTTCCCAGCCCAGCGCGGTCTTGGGATGAGACCTCCCGAGCACTCGCACTGTATTGGAGTTAGGGTCCCAGCGGCTCCTCAGCCCTGACCAGTCATCTTGCCAGCCTAGCTCCTGGCCTCCAGCCGCGCGGACGAGAGCACGCGGGTGGTCCCACGCCATCCAGCCCCACCTCTGGGAACTCTGTGGTGCTGGCGATGCTTGGGGGTGGGGGGGGGAGAAGAGGAGGAGCTCTGCCGTGGGACGTGGGGTCCCCTAGGGCCACAGCACAGCACGTGCGGAGTGTGTTAGCTTGGCTCATGCCTCCTGGCCCACACTGAGCTCTGTTTCAGGTCTCAGTCACTGCGCGGGAGGACGTGCCTGCCTTCGGCCCACCTCTGCCCAGCCCCCCTGTTTTCCAGAAGGTAAGACACTCTCCTTCCTGCTCCTCTCATATCCGAGACTCTGGAGTCCCTACTGAATGGCGGTGCGTGGAGGGGGCTGACTTTGGGCTGGGAACGTGAACAGGGCCTTTATTCAGCAGAGCTGGGGGATCCCCTTCCTTGGGATCTCTCCCCACCAAGCACAGGGTCTCCTGTCAGGGTGCTTGAATTTCTGCTAAAAGAAGCATTTGTATACCATGTTGTGATCCCAGGCGCCTTGGGCAAAAGTCAGCTTCAGTCATGGAAATGGCACTGTGGGTATGGAGGGTTGATTTCCCAGGACCAGGGAAGCTGGTGTCCATGTTGGCATCGTAGCAGGGGGACCCGGCCTGGCTAGAACTGATCAAATGTCAGAAGAGACTTTCCAGGGTGCTCCCAGATGCCCTGTGCTGCCTACCCATGCCGAGGCTGGGAGAGTCCCTGGGTCCTTGTCTGTTCCAGGGCCCGGAGTTCAGGGAGTTTCTGCTCACCAAGCTCACCAACGCGGAGAACGCTTGCTGCAAGTCAGACAAGTTTGCGAAGCTGGAGGTGAGAGCGTGGTTTCTGATGGTCTTCCGTCTGCCCCGTGAGCCAGCCTCGGCCGGGGGTCTGCTCCTGGGGCTGTTCAAGGCGGGCAGCGTGGTCTTGGCCCCTCTGAGTCATCAGTCCTGTGTTGATACAGTAACTCTTCTGGTGGAAACTACATCCAAACTTCAGGTCTAGTCAACTAGTCACCAATCATTTATTGAGCACCTACTGTGTGCCAGGCTCCATTCTGTTTCCTGGGACACGGGAATAAGTGAGACTCAGTTTCTGACCTTGTAGAGCTCACAGGCTGGTGGGGGGCCATTACTAGACAGGTATGATACAGTTTGCCAGCACTGAGCTGTGACGGAGGCCAGCATAGGGGCTGGGACTTGGGATAGTGACTGCCTCTGCCTATGGGGGACTTGGGTGTGTTCAAGGAAGGCTTCTTGGAGGAGGCTACCCTTCAGCTGCTGAATCTGGATATCTGGTGAACCTTTTGCCGGGAGAAAGGAGAGGGGAGGGTTATTCCATGGGAAACAGCATGAGCAGACGAATCAGCAGAATCAGAGCGTGACTTTGTGAGGGAGTCGCAGCGGGTTCGCTGTGGCCTGAGAGAAGGACTCGTGGGGGATGGAACGGTGGGGACTCAGCTGGAGACTTTGGCTGGGTCATATAAAGAAGGGCTTGGAGCTAGAGGTGATGGGCCCTATTAAGGGCTGGGGCAGCATAGTGATGTTTGATTTGCATATTAGATGATGACTGTCAGTGGTGGGGAAGGTAGATTGAAAGGGAGGAGGGCAGGAGGAGTGGCCAGTTAGAAGCTATTACAGGAGTTCAAGACAGACGATGGCAACTTGCTTATACCAGGTACAGGTCATCTGGGAAGACCTGATGGACTTCTGTGTTAAGGGGGGGAGTGGAATTGTGGGGTGGCTCTCAGGCCTTTAGCTTGGGCTCTTTGCTGACATGGGGATCACTGGGAGATGAGCTTTGTCAGGACCTGCTGGTCTGGAGGTGCCTGCAAAGGCGGGGTTGCTGGAAGGGCTTGGCCTGGTCTGGGTGAATGGCGCCCCCTGGAGGTTGTATGTATAGCTCTGGAGGAACATCTGGATGGAGAGGCAGCAGGCAGTTGGGTCCATGGATGTGGAGCTTGGGGTGGAGATCTGGACCGGGAGTCAGCAGGTGGACTGGGAGGGTGGGATGGCACAGGGAGAAGGAGCAGAGGGAAGAGAGCAGAGGGCTGGGCGTGGAGCCGTAGTGTCAATGACGACATTGGTGAGCGCGGCGCCCAGCCTGCCCTTAGGTCCCTGCTGTCCCCAGTATGCAGTTGGCCCTCAGCCAGGTGCCTGGAGCCCCCAGAAAGAGGGCGCATCTGTGCTCCCCGTACCAGCTCCACAACCCTCTTCCCTTCCAGGACCGGACGAGGGCTGCCCTCTTGGACAACCTGCACGATGAGCTCCATGCCCACACACAGGCCATGCTGGGACTGGGCCCAGAAGAGGACAAGTTCGAGAATGGGGGCCACGGAGGATTCCTGGAGTCTTTTAAGGTACGGGCACAAGAGTGGCTGAGGATTGCTGCGGCAGGGAGGGTCAGGACAAACAAGGGAAGAGGTCCACGGTCCACACGATCCGGACCCAGAGCCGAGACCAGCCAGGTGTGGCGGGACCAGCAGGGCAGCGCAGGTGTTGCAGGGGCATCAGCAGTGTGAGGGTTGGACAGCCTGCAGTCTGCACATTCTTCCTTGATCTGGATCATCCCCTCCTGGCCCGGAGTCTGACAAGCAGGGACAGGGGACGTTAGCCGAGAGGAGCCAGTGCAAACCAGGAACATAACTGTTCCCATCTGCCTGCTGCTGCGGTCAGGCGCCCAGGGCAGAATGGCAGGAACACGGAGGCACGTCTTGGGGGTCTTCAGCAGCTGGTGTGGGGTACTGCCAAGGACCTTTCCCAGCTGGCAGGGCACTGGCAGACCTGGCCAGGGCCATGGTGATGGAGTTATAGGCAAGGCCCCATGGACTTTGCAAAGGGAAGAACTTTCTAACCAGCACGAGCTGCTAAAATAAGTAGTGAGCTCCCTGTCCCCGAAGTGTTCAAGTGGAGCAGGGACAGCCACTCAGCTGGCATGCATAAGGAAGGTTCGTTGTCACATGCTTGTCAAGTGCTTGTTGGTCCCCAGAGCACTGACATCCAGCATCTGAGCTGAGCCTGGTGGTGGTGATTTCCACTCACACTCCTGGGGGAGGATGAGAGACCACAGCCCTGCTCAAAACCTTACCCCACGAAGAGGCGAAGGCTTGTTTCAAACCCAGGTTTTCTGGCTCTTCGGTCAGTGTGCTGCTGAATTGCCCATGGCAGAACGATTTCTAAAGCTACCATTCTGGGGACAGTATAGGGGGTTAGGGTTCGACTAGGTTAGAATCCCAGCTGCGTGATCCTGGGCACTGGTCTTTAAAGTCTCTGCGCTACAATTTTCTCATCCACAACACGGGGATGATCAATACGACCTGTGTGGTGGAGTTGTTGGGAGAATTCATCGAACTAGTCCAGAATAGGTCACCTGACCTGGAATACAGTAAATGCCCACTGAAAGTGTGAGCTGTTCTTTTTTTTTTTTATCCTTACCTGAGGATATTTTTCCATTTTTTGTACAGATAGAGTGGGAGGGAGAGAGAGGAAGGGAGAGAGAGAGAGAAACATCGACGTGAAGAGACACATCGAGTGGCTGCCACCCGCACGACCAACCAGGGCCGGGGACAAACTGCAACCGAAGTACGTGCCCTTAGCGGGAACCGAACCCGGGTCTCTCCGGACTGCAGGCCGATGCTTTAACCGCTGAGCCAAACTGGCCAGGGTGTGTGAGCTGTTCTTATTGTCCTGCAAAGTGAAAGCTTAATGCACATGATCCCCTCCAAGGCCTCCCAGCTGCCCTCTGTGCCCTGTGCGTGAGGCTATCATTATGGGTATAATAACTGTGGTATAGGAATGTATGCCCAATTTTAATAATTGAGTGTAATTGTACATGTGAGGAAACAGAGACTGAATAATTTGTCCCAAGTCGCCCAGCAGATATAGGAGTTGTGCATGTGGCTGCCGGATTCCACAGCCTGTGTTCCTAATGGCCACATGACACTGCTCCGGGTTCCAACTCAATTAAGATTCCACCCCCGCCCCCGCCTGGCCCAGGCAAGCCTGGGGTCTGTCCCTCGCTGCCAGGCTGGAGGGCAGAGCTCAGGGCAGGGCCCTGCTGGCCCCACGGGCCAGCTGCCGAGATTCCTCACGAGGGTGCGGGTAGGAGCCGAGCTGCTTGTCCAGGCTAGTGGGAGGTTCCTGGGGCATCTGCTTCGGTCCTGATGGACGGGGGCCGCCAGGGTGAAATGGGAGAAATTGAGAGATCAAGAGAAAGGAGGATGGGAAAGAAGAGGAACGGGGGAGGAGAGGGAGCCAGGTCATCTTGCCCAGCAGAGGGAGGGGTGGATGTGAGACCAGGTAAATAGGACACCTCTGCAGGCTGGCCCCACATCACAGCAGACGCTCCCAGGTCCCCTGGAAAATGTGGTGTGTATGTGACCTGAGCCGCAGTTGACTGCAGACATTTAAGGAAGCGTTTGTTGCTCTCCGTTTTGTGGGTTCTCTCTGTATTTTGGAGTTAACAATTGTTTCGTTCAATTAACAATTGTTTCAAATATTTTTATAACCTAGAGAAGCTGGTAGGCTGTGGGCACTGTGCCCACGGTGCCCAGTGGACAGAACGGCCCAGCAGCTACCCACAGGTTCGGGTCCAAAGGAGCGTGACCCGAGGCCGTTTCCCGCCCCCTGCCTCTGGAGGCTCTGACAACGGGTTCCCAAGAGAGGGAGACGCTTCGAGACTCTGTCATTCTGTGTTTAGTCCAGTAATCCAGGGAATTTTTCTTATTTGCCCTAAATCCTTCCAACTGGAAGCTGAAGACACACCTACATTCTGCTTCCACGCCTCTGTCCAAGGTGGCCCTGCGTAGGTTTTATCTCCTTCCTGCCGGACTTCTGTTTCACCGGCACATGGTCACAGGACTGAGAAGTCCCAGGGCTAACAGCGGTCTCAGCCGTCCGTGCCTACCTCCGACTGTGCCCCCCGCTCCCCGGCATATCCGCGCCAGCTCGCTGGCTGTCCGTTTAAGCGTTTCTTCCACGAGACACAGCACAGTTGGCTTGGGGACGCCTAGAGCGGCTTCTGTGGTGCTTGGAGATAATCTCAGGAATCTTCCAGCCCGACGCACACTTTGAAATTTTGTATTTTTCCTTAGCAGATAATATAAAAAAATGTATCTCCAATCAGAGAGACTAACTTTCGCAGTGAGGCGCACAACGGAAGGACACGAGTAAGTCAGCAGGTTGCAAATGCCGCCGGGGGCCACCGGTGTTGGGGTCTGTGGGCGTTTCCGTGGAGCCTTGCAGGAACCGTTGTCTTTGTAAAGGGGCGGGTAGCACTCACATTTGAAAATATTGATCTCCAGACTGTTGTTCTCCAGTGCCATCCTCAGCCACCGCCAGCTGTTGACGTTTAGTGGGTCCCTAATGAGATGACAAGAAAAGGTGATGCCTCTGGATGTATCAACATATGTACAGAGAGCACGTGTGAGCCACATTTGAGAGGCCCTGAGCTAGCCCGACCTTCTGCTGAATTCATCGTGTAGAAGTGGGAATAGAGGGGCCTGGGAGAAGGTCACTCACCGGCCCCAGAACTGGAACCGCCAAGAGCAGGGAGTTAACGGGACTTTTGTCCAGCCCTTGAGGGACTGTGGTGGTTAATGCACTGGTCTGCGCTGACCCCTAGTGGCCAAAGAGGGGCACTGCCTGCAGATAGCTCAGGCCAAGGACCCTCAGGCTGGGGCAGCGCATGGGTGGGAGCCTGGTGGGTCTGAAAGGAGATGTGGAGAGAGATTTCCTTCTCCCACCAGCCCCCCTCCTTTATTTGTGCTGTTCGTGGGGCAGAAGACCCCGTTTTGTACCTCAGGGTACTTCCTGGTTAGCGGCTATCCCAGCCGGCAAGAAATGAGCATCTTTCTCCCAAGGGCCCCTGCCTCTGTTGCCTACTTGGTGCAGGAAGGCATGCATCCCCCTTAGTGGTCATCCTTGTGCATTGGGTCCCTCAAACTGAATTTGTTAGATTAAAATAACTCGGAAAACCCCTTAGTGAAGAAGCGAGGTCTGTGGTCAGCCCAGAGGTGACATGCTCCCTTTATGACAGCAGCTGGCGCTCTGACCCCAGCTGAGGTGATGTGAGGTAAGCAGACCATGAGAAAGTGACTCCATCCCTCTTTTACTCCCCTCCCCCCGGAGGTAAGCTGTGAGGTGTGCCGAGGGCTGGGAAACCTTGGTGACTGAGGTTGGGGGTAGAACCAGAGATGAGTAGCTGGGAGGAGAGCAGACTCTGAGGACAGATGGGACAGTTGTGCGAAGTTTGGAACAGACTCGTCTGCGATGCCGCCATCCCGAAGTGGTAAGATTGCAGCTCAGTGCACCGAAGACCTTTTCAAGGGCCAGGCCGTTCCCGCCCCTCGGTGCAAGCAGAGAGGACACACCGCGGCCTGGAGGTGCAGGGCCTGAGTGCCAGAGGGGCCGATGGTGCCTGGAGACCGCCTGCTGCCCAGGCGAAGACTCCACGTGCCTGTCTTCGCTCCTGCCGCCCTCTTCCCACGCCGCCGCCCTCCGTTCTCGTCTCCACCCCGCACCAGACCCTGCTGCCGACTTGAGAGGCCAGTGCGCCCAACGGTGTCAGATTGAAATGTGAAGTACCTTAGACCGTGCCACCGGGTGATTTGGTCCACATCAAGCACTGTCTTAGGGTTTCGAGGTGCCCGTCATCTCTTTTGCCATCCCTAAGAGTGGGGAGGAGAGATGGCCTTGAGCAAGCAGGTATCACGCCAGGGATCTGTCAGACATCCTGCCCACGGACCATCACCACGTGCAGGTGACGAGACTGCGTCTCAGACGGGCTCACACACCGTGCTGGGAAGAACCAGGATTCAGACGCTGCACACCCCTGGCAGCCACCAGGTCCTCAGACGTCTCACTGACCCGACAGCACCAAGGGCCTTGGAGGAGGCGATTCCTCCCTCACATCAGCTTCTGTTTTTTTTCCCTTTATTGACTTTTAGAGATTTTTAGGGAGGAGAGAGAGATAGAAAATCGATGAGAGAGAACATCGACTGGTCACCTCCTGCATGTCCCCCCACTGGGGATTTGGCCCACAACCTGGGCATGTGTCCTGACCGGGAATTGAACCGGTGACCTCTTGGTGCATGGGTCGACGCTCAACCACTGAGCCACACCAGCTGGGCTGTTTTCTTGTTTTTGAAGAGAGGCTGAAACCCCTTGGTTTTTCATCACCCTCAGGCCGCCAAACAGTTGAATTGTGTCTTCAGTCTGGACACAGTTTGGGATACTGGGCCCCTTTCATCTGGAGCCTAGAGTCTTGGTTCCCTCTCTTACCTGTGGTGTGACCTTGGGCAGGCCTTACCTTTCCGGACCTTTCTCTCAGCGTCTGTCCTCCCTGCAGCTCGGAGTTGATGGATTCATAAGGTCATGTGTGTGAAGCTCAGTAGACCAGATACCGTCCCACAGGACTCATCATGCACATGTCATCTTTGCTGGAAGGGGACAGTGAGCACGCATCGGAACACGCATGATTCATTGACGTGTCATCGTTGATGACGGTAGTGGTGGTGGCACACACAAGGGCACCGGCGGAATGTAGTGATGCCCGGCTTGATGGAGCACTTGACTCGTTTAGAGAAACTGGCTATTACCCAGGGACGCATCAGAGTGGCGCCACACCTTCCGTGCCCTCGGCTTTCCACGGGGCATGTGACTTAGTGATCTTTGGGTGGTGGAATGAATAGAACGTGCTGGCTGTTCAGCCACGTTGCCGGGGACCGTTGCTAGGCGACTGTCTTCTGTGGTCTAGAAAGAGAGAGAGTTGATGTCCCTCAAGGGGGTGTGATTGGCTCACACAGGCCAGGCCAGATGAGTGACATCAGGGGGACAAGGCCCACGGGCTCCTGCCTCATTCTAGAGGAGCCCGCCTCCAGGGCCGTCATACTTATGGGCAGCCTCCTTCCCCAATCAGCTTCCCCCCTCAGGAGAGAAAGGCGGGCAGGATGTGGTCCTCGCCTTTCCTGGGCTTGGAGAATTCCTGCCTAGGGAGAGCTTCAGGGGGACCTGCTGCTGGGGTTGGGGACAGCATTCCTGCTGATTTCTTGGGACTGCGTTTCCATAGGCTGAGCTCTCCCCTCGGTGGTCGGGGTGGGGGGGGGGGCAGGGCAGCCGTTCCGCACGTGGACGCAGGAAGAGCGTAAGCAGAAGTGTTTGTTCATGTGTGGGCATGACCGGGTGAGGATGGAGCACTGCCTTTCTGAAGCTGAGGCTCCGAGTGCTCCCTACCTCAGCGGGCTCTCGCAATGAGGACGATCCATCAGCTCGCTTAACCAGAAGGCCCCTGTGCCTCCTGGCTCCCTGTAGTCATTGCAGGCGGGTCCTTCCCCTGTCGCCTCTGGCATCCCCATCTGGTCAGCCTCACCCGCGGGCTCCATCCCTCACAGTCCCAAGGTGGCTGCTGCGGTTCTAGGTGCGGACATGTCACATTGCGTTTGGGAATCATTGAGGACACCCTTCCTCAGAGCCCCCAGATGTCCCTTCCTGTTCCAGTGGCAAGGGGAAGGATTATGGGACGGCCTTAGGTGGTCATGATTTAGTCCTGTGGAGGAAGAGGGGACCTTGGACCAGGCTCTGCCAGCAAGGACCATGGCGGGGTTGCCCTTGTATGGGAGCAACTGACAGCATTTGCATCCGTGAGCTTTTGCTTGTGTCTCTGAGGCCCTGGGGCCTGGACAGCGCTTCAGCACAGCGGGAGCACCCACCGCCCCTGGGCCTTTCGGCGTTGTTGCCCGAATTTCAGGAATGTCTTGTTTCCCCTACACTCCTTGGAGGCAGGGACCGCGTCTTGCTTCTCTGACTGCCCTCCTGCCATTCTCCCAGTGTCTGGCACAGTGCTGGGCACGCAGGGAGCACATGGCAGTGCTTTTCATGAACGAGAAGAGTAGCCATGTGCATTGGGTACTTACGAGGTGCTGGGCTCGCTGCTAAAGCTCAGTGTGTGGCTGCCTGGCCGCGTAGCTGAGACTGAAGTTCCTGGGCAGACACTGGCCTTCCTAGAGCTGGGTCACCTTGGAAGGCCTTCAGAGCCAGGGAACCGTCCACATGGCGGGTGGACTCCTCTAGGACGTCTCGTGTCAGAAAACCCTCCCTGGGTCCGGCTGAGCGCTGTCTGCCTTGCTCGGTCCTTCTTCTCGGGTCAGGCTCCAGAGCAACGCCGGTGGCCGGCGGAGTGGCCGAGGGCAGCCGTCGCCTCCCAAGTCCACCCCTGCTGTGGCTCAGCATCTCCATTTTAAGTCTTCTCATCCTTGCCTGCACTGTGACAGCCCCGGCTGTCCTGGTGGCCCCTCTGGGACCCTTCACTGTGTACTGATGTGTCCTTTGCTCTCTGGTGGCCCTAAGCGAGCACAGGGCTCCCTGTGGCCCTCTGGGCTCCAGCCTGAGTCTGAGCTCGCACGTCCTGTGTGAGCAGCTGAGCCAGGCGAGTGTGACTGGTGGCTCAGTGCACGGATCCGGGAAGAGCTCTGGCCACAGGTCACCAACTGCAAACACCTTTCAGGTTGCACAAGGCACACTTGGGGGTGACAGCAGAAGGGGTACCTGGTGTTTAAATATAGAAGGGTGCTTAGCTTTCTGGAAAAAAGAGTCAAGGTGGGGTGAGGGGCATGGCTGCATTTCATCCCCGCCTGATGCTGCCTGGACCAGCCCGATTTGCAGATGAAGAAGCAGCAGCTTAGACAGTTAACTGGACCAGGGTCCTACAGTCTTGCTAAGCTCTCCAAGCCTCACTTTCCTTCTCTATAACAACCCTTGTCCACCTTGCAGGGCTTCTGGGGCACTGACCCCTCAGACGCCCCTGGCCAGTATCCTCCCTCAGCTCTGCCTGCAAAGAGCCACCCATGCCCAGAGCATGTGAGAGCCCTCTGCCAACTGGTGATTCAAGCATGGGCCTCTGGGGGAAAAAGAGGGAGTGTGTGTGCACGCGTGCGTGTGTGGACACGTGTGCGTTCTGAGGGCTGTGTCTGCGGATCCCGCAGAGGGCAGGGTCATTTGGAGAGGCCTGGCTCTAACTCTCAGGTCCCCGTCACCTGCTGTCCCCACAGAGGGCCATCCGTGTGCGCAGTCACTCCATGGAGACCATGGTGACCAGCCAGAAGAAGCCGCACAGCGGGGGCCTCCCAGGCAGCCTTAGCGGAGGCATCTCCCACAACAGCATGGAGGTCACCAAGACCACCTTCTCGGTGAGTGGCTGCAGGCTGGGGTATCCCCAGACCTTGGTGGGGGAGGGGTGTGTTCATCCAGGCTTGGGCCAGGCCGTGAGCAGGGTGAGCTGGATGATGGAGAGACTGAGGCTACCTGGGGGGCAACCCTTCTCTGAAATTAGATCCTCCAACCAGGCAGTCCCTGAGGCTGGCCCAGACTAGAACCTACCTGGTGTCCTGTTCTCTGAGTCTCCTTAACACCTGGGCCTCCTCCTCGGGGCCAACCCTGTGAAATAGTCCTGGGTGCATTTCTCTGCCCAGGGGCTTGGGACCTGTGACAGAGAGAGGTGTCCTTCCTTTGTTATTATTCCTGATGACAGTAGCTGCCCCTGCACCAGGCACTGAGCTAAGTAATTCATGGATCCCTGTAACAGCTGTCTGCGGTAGGTACTGAGGTGCTCTCCATTTTACATTTAGGAAGAGGTGGCCCAGAGGGGTCAAGGAACTTGCTAGAGGTCGCCCAGCTAAGCTGAAGAACTGGGATTTGAATGCAGGTTGCCCAGATCCCAAGTCTTCTCTCTTGGTCGCTGTGTGTGCGTTTCCAAGGCTGGTCTGCAGGTGTGGGTCTGGTCAGCTTGTACCAGGAGCTGCCCAGGTGAAGGAGCCACTGAGTCCCTCTTATAAAGCCAAGTGGCTTTGGATTTGTGTATGTTAGGGTTTTCCTTCGCTCTTTTGTAAAAGCAGAACATACCCACCACGGTACTAACAATGTGTGTTATGAATGCTCTTGTATCATTCATTTAATTTACCAAATAGTATTTTCAGAGCTGTTCCTCCCAGAGGGTCTGTAAGTGGGCAGGGCAGTTATCTCCAGTCTGGGGATGAGACGGAGGCCCAGAGAATTTTCCCACGTGCCCAAGGTGGCACAGCATGTGGATGGCAAACGTTGGGGCCTGGGTCGGAGGCCTGGCACGGTCTAAAGATTGGCGGCAGGCTCCCATTTCCCCCTCTCACCCCCTCCACCCCCACCGACCTTCACACGGGGCAGGAAAGCCACACTCTTGGCCAGCTCCCCAGCCTGCAGGCGCGTGTGGACCTTATGTTTGTCCTGCCTGTGATTTGCTCTGTGACCTTGGCCGAGCCCCCCCCCCCCACCCCCGACTCCTCCGCTTCCTCATCGGTAAAGCGAGAGGTTGGACTGGCTCACTCCCAGCTTTGTGGTTCCCAGTCTGTGACCCCTGAGCCATCCTGTCCCTCTCAGTGTGTGAGGTTCCCCTTGGAGTGGCCCTGACCTCATATTCCTCCTGGAATTCTGGTCTTTAGTGGATCGTTACCTGGGGCCACAGGGGTCGGGTGAAGAACACAGGAGAACGGGCTGCAGGTGGCTCGAGCCTTGGGTCCCAGCTCCTGGTACTCAGATCCCAACCTTCCAGCTGTCTTGCGGTTTCCGGGGACCTCCCCGAGCCCGTTGGGGTGTGTGCAGGGGCTCTGCGGATCGGAAAGGCGGATGCGGGGCGGAGGTCTGGGTTTGGGGAGGGAGCGCTCACTGGTGGTTTCGTTGGCAGCCTCCAGTGGCAGCGGCGACCGCGAAGAGCCAGTCCCGGAGCCCCATCAAGCGGAGGTCGGGGCTCTTCCCCCGTTTGCACACGGGCTCCGAAGGCCAAGCGGACAGCCGGACACGATGGTAACTGCCCGGCGTGGCGTTGGTCAGCCCCTGGGAGGGCTTTGCTAGCTTCAGCAGGTGGCTTCCTTCCGACCCTGGTCCCCATGTCAGGCCCCTGCACAGCCGTCACTCGCTCGGATCGCTGTCCCCTGGGGCAGCGTTGGCGGCCCCTGCACTGGACAGGCAGAGTTGTTCTTGTCACATTTTGACCCCAGAGAGAAATGGGGCTGAGATTCTTGTTTTTCTTCGCTTCCTCTTTCAAAGCTCACTCAAATGTCCTCTTTATAGAAGTCTTCCCTGGCAAATGTCCTTTGCCAAGCAGAGTAAATTGGACCTTCCTTTGGGCTTCCAGAAGGTTCTTCGTTTTCTTTTTTTAATGTTTTATAATTATTGTTGAGGGTGTTATACATATTTCCCATTTCCCCCCCTTTGCCCCCTCCCCCCACCCGCCCCACCCAGGCCTTCACCGCCCTGTTGTCTGTGTCCATGGGCAGTGCACGTATGCGTGTGTGTTCTTCGGTTTATCTCTTCCTGTCCCCCTTCCCTCTGAGATGTCAGCCTGCTCCGTGCTTTCATGTCTCTGGACCTATTTGTTCATCAGCTTATTTGTTCATTAGATTCCACATATAAGTGAGGTCATGTGATATTTGTCTCTCTCCGACCGGCTTATTTTGCTTAGCATAAAACAAAGGGAAAAAACACACACACACAAACAAACAGGACTACACTAGACTGAAAAGCTTCTGCACAGCCACAGAAACCATCCACAAACGAAAGAGGAACCCACTGTACGGGAGAACGTATTTGCCAATGATACATCTGATAAGGGGTTAATCTCCAAAATATTTAAAGAACGGATACAACTCAACACCAGGAAGACAAACAATCCAATTAAAAAATGGGCCAAAGACCTTTTTTTTAATTCATTTTTTTCCCAACTCTCACATCCTACTTACCCCATTCTTGCTCATTGTCTTTCTGACCCTGTAACCGGTGAGCCGTTTGCCGTCGAATCCAGCAGGCCGCGTCCCGCCAGTGCCTGGGGTGTGGGCTCAGTGCTCCACGGAAGCTCAGAGGACTCGGTGCCTCCGGGAGCTGTGGCCGGGTGGGGGAAACGGGGGTGCGTAGGCCGGCTTCCGGGTGTCCGTAGCCTGTAGCCCTGGATGTGGCAGCAGCAGAACCAGGGGCAGGTGGTGGAGGAGGATGAGGAGGGCTGTTTGGAACCTGTGCATGTGAGTGAGTCCTTGGGCCCACTCGGTAGAGCAATCCAGAACTCTGAGGGCTCAGAATTGCTACTCTGGAGCTTAGGAGAGAGGTGGTGGCGGAGAGGGAGTGGCGGGAGTCACGGGGGTGGGGGTGGGGGTGATGCCTAAGGATGGAGCCATGAACTGCTCACCGAGGTGGAGGATGCCTGCGGAACACCAGTGCAGAAAGGAGGGAGAGCCAGTGAAAAGACAGGGAAGGAAGGTGAGTGAGGAGGAGGAGGGCCTGGGGAGGGGGCTCAGAAGCTAGGGGAGGAGACGTTGCAGAAGGGAGGTCAGCAGTGTCCGGCGTGCAGAGGAGTCTGGCACAGTGACCCAATGCCTGCTTGGGTTGACAGGAGGTCGTTAATGACCTCCTTAGAAGTACATTGAGGCACTTCATGGCTCCGGGATGGTTATGATCAGAAAGACAAATAATAAGTGTCGGCAAGGATGTCGAGAAATCGGAACCCTCGTGCATTGCTGGTGGGAATGTAAACGAGGGTGGCTGCTGTGGAAAGCAGTCTGGCAGTTCCGCAGAGGGTTACACGTGGATTCCACTGCTAGGTGTACACCCAAGAGAAAGAATACACATGTCAACATAAGAATTAGCACACAGATGTTTGTAGCAGCATTTTCATAGTAGCCAAAAGTGGAAACATTCCAGATGCCGATCACTCAACGAGTGGATAAATGAAATGTGATATATCCAAAAAGTGGGGTATTATCTTGCAACAAAAAGGAGTGAAGTCCTGATACGTGCTACAGTGTGGATGAAACTTTATTTATTTATTTTGTATTCTCACCCGAGGACATTTTTTTGCATTTATCTTCAGACAGAGCAGGAGGGAGAGAGAGAGAGAGAAACATGGATGTGAGAGAGACACATCGACTGGTTGCCACCCACACGACCCCAACCAGGGCCGGGGATGAACTGCAACCAAGGTACGTGCCCTTAGTGGGAACTGAACCTGGGACTCTCCAGTCCGTGGGCCGACGCTCTAACTACTGAGCCAAACTGGCCAGGGCTGGATGAAACTTTAAAACACTTTACCAGTCCTGGCCGGTGTGGCTCAGTTGGTTGAGTGTCTGTCCTATGCACTGAAAGGTTGCTGGTTCGATTCCTGGTCAGGGCAATGCCTGGGTTGTGGGCTTGATCCCTGGTAGGGCGCGTGCAGGTGGCTGATCTATGTTTCTCTCTCACATTTCTCTCTCTCTCTCTCTCTTTCTCTCTCTTCCTTCCTCTCTCTCTAAAAATCAATAAAAATATTTTTTAAAAATGCACAAAACAAAAAACCCCACTCTTCTAAGTGAAAGAAACAACTCACAAAAAGACCACACCATAGCGTATGTTTCCAGTGGTATGAAATGTGCAGAACAGGCGAGTCGGTAGAGAGAGAAAGCAGAGCAGTGGTTGCCGGGCCAGGGCACGGAGGACAGGGCGTGGTTGTGAGTGGGTCCAGGGTTTCTTTTAACGGAGATAGAAATGTTCTAAAACTAGTTTGTGGTCAGGGTTGTGAATATACTAAAAATCATTGAATTGTACACTTTAAATGAGTGAATTGTATGTGGATTATAGCTCCATGAAGCTGTTATAAAAATAAAAGCATAATCCGACCGGTGTGGCTCAGTGGCTGAGCATTGACCCACGCACCAAAACGTCGCTGGTTCGACTCCTGGTCAGGGCACATGCCCAGGTTGTGGGCCAGATCCCCAGTGTGGGGCATGCAGGAAGCAGCCAGTTGATGTTCTCTCTCATTGATGTTTCTTTTCTTTCTTTTTTGTGGTATGTGCCCCCAGCGGGAACTGAACCCAGGACTCTCTAGTCCGCAGGCCAATGTTCAACCGCTGAGCCAAACTGGCCAGGGCTCTCACTGATGTTTCTATCCCTCTATCCTTCTCCCTTTCTCTCTCTCTCTAAAAATCAGTAAAAAGTAAAAAAATAAAAATAAAAGTACATTAGGGACAGGGCCGTCGTGTCCCCAACAGTGGGCACAGAGCAAATAGTGGGCGGCGGACGTGGTCTGTGTTCACTGCAGGAGGAGACCCATGGGCCCAGGCTGGGTGGGCGAAGCCCATTTACCCAGATGCCCTTCCCAGCACTCAGAGCGGCCTCGGCACACCCGTCCCGGGAGCGCATTTCTCGTCTGTGGAAGGGTGTCCCTGGTGCTCCGCAGCTGTGGCCTGCCGGCACCCCGAGGCGTGCATGTGCGCCGGGTTGTTTCCTGGCTGTGGCAGGGGACGTCCCAGACCCCACTCCATTGCCTCTGTGACCCCTCTTGACCTAGAGGTCTGCCAGCGGGACGGCTGGGTGGGCTCGGCGGTTTCAGTCAGGACTCCTGCCTGGGAGCCCGCAGTAGCCCCTTGCAAAGCAGAAAACCCTGTGGCCTGCCCCCCAGTCTCTGATTGGGCAGCCTGGATGGGATGGAGGTCCTGGTGGCCATGCTCTCTCGGGAAGGGCTGTGACCCCACAGGCCCGCGTGGTGTTGGGGCCTGGGAGGGGCTATCTCGGGCCTGGGGGTGCAGTGGGGGTTGGGGACCGGCCCCTGGCCTCACTCCTCTTCTTCCTCATTTCCTCAGTGACAGCGCATCCGGCAACCCCAAGGCTCTGGACAGCGGGCATTCTTCTCAGGAGGTCAAGTCTGAGACCTCGTCCAACCCCAGCTCTCCGGAGATCTGCCCCAGCAAGGAGAAGTACGGGAGCGGGGGGGCGGGCTTTAGCCCCTGGAGCCCTGCTCCGGGCCTCTCGGGCTTTGGGACTCCTTGGACCGCAGCTGCCCCCAGGCAGGGCCATGGGGAGCCACTCAGTCTGTGCGAGGCCTGCCCTGCCCTCGGTCCGGCGAGTGACCAGGGCCCGCCTTCCTGTTCCCTGCAGGCCCTTCATCAAGTTGAAGGAGAACGGCCGGGCCAACATCTCCCGCTCCTCCTCCAGCACCAGCAGCTTCAGCAGCACGGCTGGGGAGGGTGAGGCCTTGGAGGAGTGTGACAGTGGGGTAGGTGTGGCCTGTCCGACCGGGAGGGGCGGGCACCCTGGCCCACCTGCTCTGTGCGTTGAAGCTACTGTGGGCAGAGCCCCGTCCAGGCTCTGGGGAGAAGGGGAAGTATGGAAACAAGAGGCGGCCCCCTCAGCATCTCCGCCCTCGGAGGCAGAGGGGCAGAGGCCAGTTTGAATGGTGACCCTGCCATGGGGTTCCTGGCTCCATGGGTGTGGGTCAGGGGCACTTTCTGGGGGGTGGAGGGGAGCCAGGGTTGGAGGAGGCAGAAGGAAAGAGCATGTCCAAGTGGGGAGTGGGAGGCAGGGGCTGCCCTGGGGCGGCTGAGGGTGGGGCTGGCCTCGCTCACCCAGCCTCTCTCCCCAGAGCAGCCAGCCGTCCACAACCTCGCCCTTCAAGCAGGAGGTGTTTGTCTACAGCCCGTCCCCGAGCAGCGAGAGCCCCAGCCTGGGGGCGGCCACCACCCCCATCATCATGAGCCGGAGTCCCACAGGTCAGTGGCGTCCAGCGGTGTGCACCACGTGGCCAGGGGCGGGGGCTGCGCCCTCACCACTGTTCATGGGGTGCGCGCCCCAGGCACACTGACCTGGCCAGCTTCTGCTCCAGCCCCGAGCAGGAGGCCCTTGAGCCCTGCTGGCTCACACCTCTGTTCATCCGTCTCTAGAGGCCTGTGTGCTGGTCCTCTCCTCAGTCCGGGGAACCGACAGGGAGCCCAGTGGTTTGCCAGAGGAGTTGGGATTGCGTGAGCTGAAAGTTGAGGTTCTTCCCGCTGACCTCTTGCCCACCCCATCACTGACTCAGGCCCCCGCTCAGTGATGGTCCTCAAAGTGCAAGGGTAGCAGGTGGGAGAGTTTTATAAGTGGAGGGAACGGCACACGGAAAGGCCTGGAGACTGGAGAGGCCGTGATCTGGAACCACAGCACGTGGCTGTGGCTGGAGTTCATGGAGGTGACGGGGACAGGTGAGAGAGGAGACAGTGGTTAGGGGACTAGGCCAGGCTGCCACGGAGCTCTGGTGAGGATTTGGGCCGCATCCTACAGGCAGGGGAAGCCATTGGAAGGTCTTACATCTTTGAAGGTTCTTAAGTAGAGAAGCACCATCTGGGGTTGAGAAAGATCATTTTGTGGCTGCAGCTGGCCCAGCAGAAAGGGTTGGTGGGGAGCAGGTGCAGGGGGGGAGATCAGCGAGGGTCCCAGTGAGTGGCGAGGGGGGTGACGGGCTGTGAATCTGTGGGGTGCTGGAGCAATGGGAGGAGCAGTGCATTCGAGATGCCAAGGAGGTAAAATCTTCGGGCTCAGTAGTGGAGGGTTCGGGGAGAGCAAGGAGTCTGGGCCTTTTGGGGTTCTGTGATCCCTGCAGTTGGGCAGAGTAGGAGGAGCCAGGTCTGGGGGGAGGGTGAAGGGTGGCACCTGAGGGGCATCCAGGAGGACGTGTGTGGTAGGCACTGCTGCGCTCCGTGGGTGCCCAGGAATCAGAGCCTTGGTCCCGCCCCTGGGGAGAGCAGCTCAGGGGGGCCAGGTGCAGACCCGGGAGCTGGGTCCTAATCCCGGGCCTACCACTTCCTGGTGACGTGACATTGGACAAGTTACTGAGCCTTTCTGTGCCTCAGTTTCCCCAAGCAAAAAAAAAAAAAGGAGGGGAGGGGGAATAGTTTCTACCTTGCAGCTGGTGGGGATTAAATGAGTTTACACTTTTGTAAGAATGTATAACTGTCAACCTATGTGTTCGTTGAGTAGCAGGAATAGAATAATAGTATAATCAGTGGTTCTCAACGGGGAGTGATCTTGCTCCCCAGGGCACACAGGGCACTGTCTAGACAAAATGTCTTTGATTTTCATGATTGTGGGAGGGCTTGCTCCTGGCCTCTAGTGGGCAGAGGTCAGGGATGCTGCTAAGCATCCTACAGTGTAGAAGATCGACCCCACAGCGAAGAATTATCTGGCCCAGAATGCCAATGGGCTGAGGTTAGGAAACTGACCTAAATGGTGGAGACAGAAAGGGCCTGTTCAGGTGCGTCCTCTCCCTCAGCTCCCTCTGGGTGCAGCTGGGCTGTGGTCCCTCTCTGAGCCTCAGTTTCCTCATCTATAAAGTAGGGTAGTCATACAGATTCCCTGATTTAAAAGAGCAAGGCTTCATTAATTACGGAAGGAATGAGTGAAAGGATTCATAACTAAGCTTGGCTCTTACTTGATATTAAATAAATATAAAAATAAATAAGAATGAAAAAAAAATATGTTTTTATTGATTTTAGAGAAAGAGGAAGGGAGAGGGAGAGAGAGAGAAACGTTGATCGGCTGTCTCCTGCATGCCCCCTACTGGGGACTGAGCCTACAACCCAGGCATGTGTCCGGATCGGGAACCGAGGCCTCTCGGTACATGGGACTATGCTCAACCAACAGAGCCACACCGGCCAGGGTTAAATGAGGTTTTGAGTAAAGGGAGGTTTTCAGTGTTTGGGACTTGCTGGAGGTCACCCAGGGCAGAAGGGGACTTGGAACGGGCTTGGCAGCTCCTGCACCATGAACCCCCTTCCTGCATAGTATTTAATGCTGAGGGAATGCCTTTCACCCCGAGCCCCAGGGACCTTGTTCCGGGTACTGGCAGGCTCACCCTCGGAGGTCTGGAGATCTATTTTAGGCTGTTCGGCTGCCTCTGGGGAGAGACAGGGTTGAGGGGAGGGAGGTGGCCTGGAAGAGCCAGATATTGGTCTTCCATAGTCTCAGATGCCCTGACCACTGGTCATTTCATACCGGGGCTCCCAGGGGCCTTGAGAGGGGATTGGCCGGTCACACCGAGAGGTGCTTCTGGTGCTGGGAGGAACCCCCGACTGAAGCACCAGGAGTAAGTCAGTGGCCTCCAGGTGGAGTGGACTGGGCTGTGGGTTCTCTCCCTGGGCCAGAGGAAAGCCAGGTTCCCCACCCCCGGTCAGTGGCATGCTGGGAAATGTTTAACAATCGGCTCTCCAAGCCCCGCCCCCAGAAACACCTGTATATGTTTATTGTACATTTTATTGAGGTAAAGGGTCCGAGGCACACATTTTATAAATAATGATAAAATATACAATGTTCTATACTATAAACCCCACATAGCCAATTGATGGTCACAAAACGCTTTTATTAATTATTTGCCTAACTTTGTATCCAGAGGCACATCAAGGATGCAAATGAGGAACAAGTGTAGTCCCCACATGACAGTGATTGATGTTCTTTTGTTAGTGACATGAGCCACTTCTTTCAGAGTCGAATAGTTTCCAAATACTGGAGGACTATTTACTCAGTTTCTTGTGCTGTTCACAAGGTTATAGACACAATACATTTTCACGTTTAATCTATATTACTAATATTCTCTCCAACTGGTTTCTGAAGTTTAGACAACAAAACGGTAGATCAAGCTGATTTGTAGCATTTGCTGATCTCAAGCGACCAGGGTGATGTGGCGTTGAGAAGAACCACCAGATAACAATACACATAAAAAACCTCGAAAGAATAGGTAATAGTAAAATGTAATGAAATAGTCCGGCCGGTGTGGCTCAGTGGTTGAGTGTCGACCCATGCACCAAAAGGTCATCAGTTCGATTCCCGGTCAGGGCACATCCCCAGGTTGTGGGCCTGATCCCCAGTGGGGGGCATGCAGGAGGCGGCCTATCAGTGTTTTCTCTCACTGATGTTTCTGTCTCTTTCTCCTTCTCCCTTCCAACTCTCTCTAAAATCAATAAAGGAAAAAAAAATTTTTTTTTAAATGTAGTGAAATAATGAGGAAGTGATGGCTTTTAAGTATTTATTACCTTTGATGAATATCATTTAATTATAAGCTTATATAATTTAATTTGAAAGTGACTATGTGTAACAACCAGCTCACACCATTTCTAAAAATGTAAGAGTTGGCTCTTGTGAGTTGCTGCAAGTCAGCTAGTGTCTAGTGGAGGGGAGGAGCCTCCTTCCAGGGGCCTCCCTGCAGGTCCCCCCAACAGCCGGTGACCTCTACAACCCCACCCCCTCTTCTTTTTCCTAGATGCCAAGAGCAGGAATTCCCCAAGGTCAAACCTGAAATTCCGCTTCGATAAGCTCAGCCATGCGAGCTCCAGTGCGGTGAGGATCTCGGGGTGTGGGGGTGGTGGGGAGCCTCCAGCACCCTACATTCTAACCTCCCCCAAAAGCCAGCCTTCCTTCCGGGGAGGGGGGCACAGCGCAGCGGGGGATGACGCTGTTGGTCCCGCATGCAGGCATCAGGGGGTCGCCACCTCTGCCCACGTCCTGTGCTAGAGCCGCCCCTCTGGCACACAGATGTGAGCTGTGCACTGTGGGCTCCTGGGGCCTCCGGCCCCTTCCTGAGCTCGCCGGAGCCTTGAGAGCTGAGGGCACAGAGGTGGCAGTTGGTAGGGACTGTGTTGCAGTTTCATAAAACTCTTGTATGGGCTTTTTTTGACACAGGGTCACTGACGTGAAGGAGGAGCCCTTGCCTGTCAAAGGTGGGTCGAGTGTGCCCTGCTCAGACCACGTGGCCTGATAATCAGGATGGCCCGAGGCCCTGACAGCGGGGGAGGGTCAAGCTGCTGTGATGGGGCCCAGGATGGGGAAGGAGGCAGATGGGAAGGGTTGGTGGACAGTGTGGGCCCGTAGCCCAGAGCCTCCTCCTCCCTGGAGGGACAGTCCTGTTTGTCCCCTTGCCCGTCTGTTCTCGGCAGCCTCCCTCCCTGTCTTTGGCGGGGGCTCTGGGCTGATCTGTGTCCTCCCGAGTGTCCAGAGCTGCCTCAGCACCCTAAACAGTGCGCGGGCGACCCGAGGGAGGACTGCGTGTGCGGCACCCTCCTGTCCTGAGCGTGCCCGCTGGGCTGTGGCCGTGGGCACATGTGTTCTTCCTGCCTCACCCAGCCTCTGATCGCGCCTTCCTGCCTGTCTCCTCCAGGGAAGCCCCGATTCTGTCTTGGAGACGGCTCCTATCCTAGCAGTTTGGGGGTGCCATTCACTACTCTGACCGTCACAGGCCTGTTGCTCCATCGGCCACCTGCCCACCAGACCAGCTGTCTGTCCCAGTGTCCGACCAGCCACAGCCCTGCCCGCCCTTCGCCGCGGCACCTGCCAGCGCACCCGCCTCGGACAAGGCCTCCTCCTCCAGGCTCCCGCTCCTGACCACGCCATGTGCTGTGTCTGGGTCATTTGTTACCTTGTGTTTGTCCGCAGAGGCAAGTGTTGGGCGCGGGGGATCTGGGTCCTGGGGACTCAGAGAGCCAAGAGGCACAGAGCGGAGCCATGGGGAGCCCAGGCCCCCACAGGACTGCGCCGGGGACGGGCAGCGCTGGGTCCTGGACCGGCAGGCATTTTGTGCTGGTGGAGGGAACACTTCTCCAGGGGCCAAACGTGTAGCTCCTCCAAGATGTCCTGGTAGAAATCGGCCCTGTGGCTCCCACATCTCCAGAGCTAACATGTTTGCTTCTGTGCTGGGAACTGACCATCTTCTGACGGCGGGCCCAGGGCCGCCTCCGCCTGCTGGTCCTCCTGCCTGTGCGTCCACAGACCGGGCGTCCTTCTGACTGTGGTTGCCGTGGGAGAAGCCCCGCGGTCTCCCCTTTGAGCAGGTGTAGCAGGTGTTTTTCCCGCGGAGGGGCGGGCAGCCAGGAGAGAGGAGGAATTGGGAGGGAGCGAGCCAGGGAGCACCTGGGCCTTGGCTGAGGGGAGACTCGAGGATCCAGGTCTCTGCTGGGGGCGGAGGTTCCTGGAGAGCTTCTTCAACCCACCTCTTAGGGGAGAGCCGCGAGGTGAGGTGGGGAGGACGCTTCCGGGGTGGGTCAGGCCACGTGTGGGTGCAGAACTCAGGTAGGGGGAGGAGCGGCGCTCTCTGCATTTTTATGTTCTTGGCATCTGTGGGGAGCTCAGTGCTGCCTGGGGGTCTCTCCAGCAACAGGGCCCTTGGCTTTGTTGGGCTTGGTCCCCAGGCCTCCCCTTCCCCTTTCCCACCGAGGGTCTACAGGCAGCTGTCACATGGGAGGGATTCCTGCAACCTGGGTGCCAGCTGTGTGCACGCAGTTCGGACACGGCCTGCCCGGCCCCTCTGCCAGAGCCCCCTTCCCAGGGTGAGCCAAGTGTCCTCGGAGCAGCCCCTCCCCCGCTCACCACCCATCCAGTCTGCAGGCGGCTTCTGCTGCCTGGCCCCGGCGGGGTTCGAGACCTGGTGTCCTCCAGGAAAGCAGAGCGTGAAGGTGCTGGGGCCTCCGTGACGTGGGCCGCCAGGGTGACGCCGGCCCTGCTTCAAAGAGCAGAGGACGAGGATTTCCAGCCCGATGCATGGGCTCTGGGCTTATTCCAAGTCGAGGCATATGACGTGACGCCCGTTTCTGACCGATGTGACAGCTGCCCCATTGCTTTCGCAATGAGAGCAAAACCTCAATCCTTCCGCCCCGCCCACATGGGCGTTGTGGGTCCGGTGTGCAGGCTGGTGGACCTCTCCCCTCACACTGTTTGGGAAATGTGTTTACTTCAAGTGCTAGTCCAGTAGAGTTTATTCTAGTTAGAAGGTCCACAAATGTCTGCTTAGATTTTATTAAAATTACTGTAGCAGCACCCACTGCTGGAGCGAGGCCTGCAGATTGGGCCGCGTTCCGTTGGCTGGGTTTCTGGGGGGACCTGGCAGGTCAAACTGCATTTCCTTAAAAACAATTCCAGGGTCTGGCTTGCTTCCCTGGAGAGCTGGTATTTATAGCTGCTTGGTGGGGGTGCTGTGTTGTGTTGCGGCCTGGGGGTCCTCTGGGATTTCCAGGTGGTCCCCACTCTGTCCTGCTTGAGAACCACAATCCCACCTTCCCCACCACTCTGGCCTCTCCACCTGCAGCCCCCACCCCCTGGGACGGCTTTGCGCCTGCCTCTGAGCCAGTGGCCAGGACGGCTCAGGTCTGCCCTGAGAATCAAGACCTGAGAGGAGGTGTCTGCCCTGGGTTTGCTAATGGGGATGCTCGGGGAAGGATCTGAAATGTCTCTCCCTCTGTGTCCTGACTCACCATCTCTAGAAAGTCCTGTGGCTTTCACGATGTCCACGACCAGCCCCGCCGAGGTCCCAGGGCTGTGGAGCTAAGGGAGACCCAGGATCCACACCCCTCACCCCTCGGGACTGTGGGGCAGGCAGCTGGGGTTCCTAGGCGCTGCCTTCCCCACAATCCCCTTGCATTGGCTCTGGCCCCAAATGTCTCCTTTTATTGCCGCGCCCGGCCTTGAGGCTCGGAGATTTGCTGCAGCCTCATTGGTCCTTGTGACTGGACGCATCCTGCTGGTGCTCGGCCGGTGTTGGAGGCATTCTGTGTGTGGTCTCTGGACATAGGAGTGTTCCCGGGACACGTCCCTGGCTCTGGGAACTGCCTGACTCACGGAAGCAACTCGTTGTCAGGCTCTGTAGGGCACCCATATGCCTCTGCTCAGATGGTGCTTGAAAACAGGTGCAGAGAGAGCCTGAGGTCGGTCTTAGGTAGAGTTTCTGTCATGAATGGGAAATGGCGTTTCTTTGGGTCGCAGGCTGAAGCTCTAACCGCTGAGCCAAACCGGCCAGGGCGAAATGGCGTTTCTTAGAAACACTCGGTGGCACCACTTTGTCCGCACCACCCTGCTGCCCACGCCTCTGGGCCTCTTTTAGCCTCTAATGATTAGATTTTAGCCACCCAGGTCATCTTCCCGGTGAGACACCTCGGCCCCAGGAAGGGGAAAAGAACTGCTTCAGGTCACATGACCAGCGAGTGGCAAAGCCGGGGTTAGGACACACCCAGGGCCCTTCTGCCGCACCCCCTGCCTGCTTGGCCACCCGCGGGCTGCGTTTCCAGGACCCTGAGTGGCGGAAGCCGGCGGCTGGGGTCTGGCCCTGCTGGGCCGTGTCAGCCATGGAGGGTGCTGGCGGGGCCTCACACTCTGTCCTTTTCATCAGGAGGGACATTCCCTCGGACTTCTCCGTGAGGGCCCTGGGGTTTCGGATGCAGCTTGGGCAAAGAAGACGAGGCAGGGAGGAGAGAACAGTGGCTTGTTCCTCAGCGACATCGGTTCTTCAACTCTGGTGTGTAAGGAGGGGTGGAGGCCAGGGCAACCCTCAGTTTCCCCTTCTCAAGTTAGGAAAAGTACAAAAGGAAACTCTGATTCTCCCTGCTCCTTACACAAGGGTGGTTAATGGAAATGTAGACTCAAGTGGCGAGGCGGGACGAGAGCGCGGCTCAGTTTCTTACCTGACCTTTTCAGGTGCCAACTCAAACACTAAGGTCTTCATTCAGTTGTGAGCCCACAGAGGCAGGTCTGTTGTGGGGGATGGTCGGGGTTCAAGTAGATCTCATGGCTGCAGGTGGCTGGCAGGGACCCGGCCACTCAGCCTGCTCAGCTCCCCACGACTCCTCCCCCAGCCTCTAGCTGCCCCTTTCTCAGAGGTGAGGGGGGGCAGTGGAGTTCGCCAGGGCTGTCCCCACGGCCTGCTGGGGGCTGTTGGGTCACCTACCAGCCCTCTGATACCTGTTTTACCACTAGCCCCTTGCCCCACCCAACCCCATGTGTCCCTTTGGGAGGAAGGCGACAACCCCCAGTAGGGCTAAGGACGGCGGAGCCCTGCCCAGGGAGAGGCTGCTGGGGCTCTGCTCTGTGCCTTACCAGCCCTGGGGAGAGGGGGTTCGGCTGGAAGACTGGAATGTAAATGCTCTTGTCTTTGATTTTGTGACATTTCTGCTTGGAAGGGTCAGCGCCCCCTTCCTGTCCCTTCGCATGCGTACCAACTGTCCTGTGGTGGCCTTCCCCTTGGGCGCTCCGCCCGGGGGTGCTGGCGTTGACGCAGGAAGGGCTCTCTGTGTGCGGTAGATCCCGGGAGGTGTAGCTTGGACACGATGATCCATGTGGTGGTGACTTTTCTTTCTTCTTCGCAAGGGGGTGATTTGTAGACCCTGCCTATGTAATGTAAATAGTGTACATTTAATTTATTGCTATGGCAGCACATTGTATTTGTTAATGTATAAAACCAATTCAAAGAGGTCGACAAATGTATATTTTGTTGCTTAAATGTGTCTTTGCAGAAATTGACAATAAATAACATATTTTGTGTCCATCGGTGTTTAGATTTCTTGGCTGGGCCCCGCCCCTGAGCATGGCCTTTCAGCCCACAGAGGTGAGCACCGCAGCCCTCGGGCCACATCGGGCCTGGAGATGTGTCACTTTGGCCTGAAAAGTGTTTTAAAATTTACCAACGAATCCCTGATGTTTAAAAAACTGACCACAATGAAAGCTCTTTTGAGTCCGGCTGGTGTGGCTTATTGGTTGAGCATCAAGCCATGCACCAAGAGGTCGCCGGTTCGATTCCCGGTGAGCACACATGCCCAGGTTGTGGGTCCGATCCCCAGTGGGGGGCATGCAGGAGGCGGCCAATCCATGTTCTTGTTCTTCGATGTTTCTCTCTCCCTCTCACTTCCTCTCTCTCTCAAATCAATAAAGGGGGGAAAAAAAAACTTCTTGAGAACCTAGAAATTTCATAGAAAAGCTAAATTTTCTGCTTCTATAAAAATCAGATGCTGGACCCACTGGTTCGGAGTGGCAGCGATTGGTCAGAGCGCACGAGAGGCGCCCCCTTTGTGGGACCTGAGCCAGCGCAGTTCCCAGCGTTCCCTGTCACTTACCCCTGGAACATGTCACCCAGTCCTGGTACTGCTTGGCCCTCTGAGTCTGAGACCTCAGCTCGCCACTGATTTGTCTTCCACCTGGGAGTGTCTTCCTTCTGCCCACTCTCTTCCCAAATTCCCAGTTTACTCCTCCAGGGATTCTTTCCCGATTAAATGCCCCCCCTCCTACTCCCTTTGACTCCTGAATGTCCACTTACAACATTTGGATGTACGTTTAGAAGTAATATCTATTTTTTTTTTGCCTTAAGAAAAGGCAAGGAACAGGCCTTTGTTTGCTGGGACTTGGTTATGTGATCTCGGGCACATTTTTCACCTCTGGGATTTGCATTTTCTTTTATGTATAATTGGGAAAACAATCCACCAGGAAAGCAGGAGGACAGAAATGCATTTGTAACTGGGAAAGAGCTTTGAAAAAAAAAAGGCAAGTATTATTCAAGCACCAGAGGTTCCATGATGATTGTTACTATAATAACAATCACAGCAGCTGGCGTGTATTAGCTGCTCACAGGAGTTGAGCCGAGGTGTTTTGCATATTCAGCCAGTTCTGCTGTAGCATGACCTACTGTTCCTAAAACATCACTCCACGGTGCAAAATTGTGCAAGTGGGAAAAATAGGGCCAGGAACATAACACTTACAAACTTTCTCAGCGACACATAAAAATAAAAATTCATTCACTGGCCCTGGCCAGCGTGACTCAGTGGTTGAGCGATGTCCTGGGTTATGGGTTCCATCCACTAGGTTGGGGTGCATGTGGGAGGCAGCAGATTGATGTTTCTCTCTCCCCCCCTCTCTTTTTTTTAAAGATATTAAAATTTTTTTTTCTTTATTGATTTTTAGAGAGAGAGGGAGAGAGAGAAACATTGATAAGAAAGAACATCAATTGGTCGCCTCCTACATGTCCCCTACTGGGGACTTGGCCTACAACCTAGGCATGTGCCCTGACCGGGAATCAAACTGGCAACCTCTTGGTGCATGGGTCGACGCCCAACCACTGAGCCACACTGGCCATGCTCCCCCTCTCTTTCTAAAATTAATGGACATATCTTTGGGTGAGGCTTAAAAATAAAAATTCATTCACGACTCAGTGAAAATGGTAGCAGTCTTACACATGTAAAATACATAAATGCTACAATAAATACGGCATCTTTACTTTGAAACAGACCTGGTTGGATTGTGGAAGCAGGCGTTGGGAGGGTTGCCACTGATGAGCTATCGAGAGGTGAAAGGAAAGGTTTTCTGAAATCGAGCGGACAGCAGTACACCCAGTGTGGACGGCTGTAGCTCAGAACACGAGCTGTGCCGAGAAGCTGGTGGACGTTTGAGGTGTGTGCACGGGGGTTTTGTGTGTTCCCACTCAGCTCGATTCAGCTGGGTGTGTTTTTTGCATGCACCCGGTATTTCTCATGGAAGGGTTGCATATTCAAACATGCAATTTGTGTTATATTCATATTCTCTTCTTTCTAATTTATCAACTGCATTGGACCAAATTACCATTTTCAAAAGTACATCAGCAGAACTGACTGTATTATCTCAGTCATCCAAACAACCCATTACAGCATGTGAAAGAAACAGAGTCAAGCTTCAGTCTGGAATCCCACTGTGACACAGGTGTACACGGATCCGCTGACCTCGGTGTGAAGGTGTGTTTCGGACTGTGGGGTTCCAGGGGGAGTGCACTCCAGCCCTCTTTGGTTTCTCTGCCCAGCTTGGAGCTGCTGTCCGGGTGTGTCTGCGGTGGCCTGGGCTGGGTCATCACCTCTGCACGTGTGCCTCCCCTGAGCCTGTGGTTTCAGGCTTCCTGTCTCTCAGGGTTCTAGGCCCCACCTGTCGATCCCCACGGCTGCAAGTGAAGCTGCGTCTTTTACACAAACACCCAAACCCGTCTGCTCCTCATGGTTGTGTGTCTGCTGGCGTCAAGCCTCTGCCCAGAAGCGGGGGATCACAGACCCCACGGAGCCTTTGGGAGGTGGGACACCTCCTGCCTGGTGGGAAGTGCTGTGGGAGGCACAGGTCACCTTCCGCTGGGCCACTTACCACCTTCGGGGTCCAGCAAGCTCACCTAGGTCTGTGTTCCCGTGTCCGCCCACTAGATGGGGCACTCTGTCAAGTTAGAGGTTCATTCTTCAAATGCTTGCAGCCCGTTTCCCTCCCTGGGTGTCCAGCACCCGCAGCCGGCAGACACCTCGGGCCGCCGTTCTGCTCGCCGCACGGGCAGGCTCTCCTGCGCAGCTGCTCGGCCCATCTCAGTGTTGCCTTCAGGGGAACCTCTTAAGTGCCTGCTGTGTCCAGTGGTGCGTCCGGCTGTGCCCCAACCCACCCTTCTTTGCCATCCTGGTAGCTGGCTCCATAACAATACCACAGTCCAGTCCTCTAACTTTGCAGTAGCTGTCATTTATTAAAACAGTCATTTCAGTTCACAAAGTCCTGTTCTCAACTTCAGTGCGCATTCACTTCCAGCCTCCCACCAGCCTTCCGGGGCAGGTCAGCCTGTGGTCCAGTGTCGTGTGTGTGGCAAGGACCCATCTCAGCCTTCTTTCGGGTGTCATCTTGGCCTGCCTTGGCCTGCCCCGCCAGTTTTACAAGGTATCCTAGTACACTGTTTTATCAAGACTCCTCCCTGCCCTGGCTGCTTTGGCTCAGCGGTTAGAGCGCCAGCCCTTGGACCAATGAGTCACGGGTTCGATTCCGGTCAAGGGTACGTACCTCGGTTGTGGTTGTCCCAGGCTCTGGTCGGGGTTGTGCAGGGGGCTACCAGTCGATGTGTCCTTCTCACGTTGATGTTTCTCTCTCTCTCCCTTTCTCTCTCTCTCCCTCCCACTCTATCTGAAGATAAAGAGAAAAATGGCCTCGGGTGAGGATTAAAAAAAAAGAATTTCCCCCTCTTATCACCTTTGATATCCAATCAAGTTGCTCTTCCCCCATTTCCCCACCCTTGATACCTAACCAAGTTCCTCTTAGTAATTTTCATCTAACCCCTCACCCAGCCTGGTGGCTGAAGCCCCCATTTGTCCCTGTAGTGTTTGGAGTTGAGGTCAGTCTTCAGTACCGTCTTCCTTGCCTGTTGAACTCAGCTGGTGCAGACTTTCTTTGGCCGGTGGCTGGCGCCCCTCATCATGCCCAAGCCCCTCCTTCTCTGCACTTCTCCTCCAGTGTTAGGGTGGGGAACAGGGGAGGCCTCTCACTTTGGGGCTCCCTGAAGGAGCACGGTGTTAGTCTGGGTGCCCTGAGAAGCAGACACGCAGATGGGAATCAGGACTATCACAGGAAAGACCCGTGAGCGGACATGGGGACGGGGCTGGAGACGGCCGGCGAGCTCTCAGACTGTGGCGCAGGTCTGACCCTGGGTGAGGGGGAGAAGGGAGAACCATGGTGGGGTGGAGGCATCTTTGATGTCAGTCCAGTTCTAAGAAAAATTCAGCAAGGGAGTCCCCCAGCCAAAGTCACCCCCCAGAGGAGTCCTGCCTAGCACAGGAATGAGCCTAGAATCACTCTGCCTGCCATTCCCCGTCACCGGCGAGAGCAGCCTGTGGGCAGCCTGGCTTTGGTGCGAACAGTGATGGATTTCTGAGTGCAGCACCTGGGACCGTGGGTCCACTGCGCCCCCTGCAGTCGGAAACCTGAGAGGCACGTTCGCCTGGTCGCCATAGGACCTGCCTGTTTGGGTTGCTTACACTTTCTCCTCATTTGGAGAGAGGCCCTCATTAGAGGGGGTGGGAGTGGTGGGGGGTTGAAGCCTCCTTGCTCTTGGTTCTCTCTGCCTTTCTGTCTAACACCAACTCCCCTTGTTCCTTTGGCTCGGTGGCATCCAGATGCTGCTGCTTTGTCACCAGTCCCTGCCATGAGAGCCGGGGCTGGGGCTGGACCTGGTTCTCCCTTCCTCCGCTCCGCTCTAAGAGGTCTGCCTCGCAGCCTGTGGTTCATGGTGTAAACTTCCAGCCTGCTGCCTCCTTGGCATCCACTCAGCTCTCAGGAGGCTCCCTTCTCCCCGTCACCCCAGCAGGTGGCGATGTCTGCTGCCATGTGCCACGTCCCAACCCTCTCCCTCTTCACTGTGTCTGCTTTCTCCTTTTCCCAGATCCAGCAGTGACGGGTGGTTTTGCAATGTTGAGTGAGTCGCCACACCATGACCCATGGGGGATGTGTTTGGAGGACCCTCAGTCTTGTACAAATAGAGAGAGATGTCAGATGCTCCCTCCTTCACAGAGCTAGTCCTCTTACATTGCCTGGGAATGGGGAGGGTGTTGGTTTTATTGTTGGTTCTGATCAAATGGTGCCTCTCCACAAGCCTCGTAGGGCTCCATGGCTGGGTCCCGGGACTCCAACTGTTTCCTGCGTTTGAACTGTGAATCTGGTGGGTTACTGCTATGGTCCATTCAAACATCCGCCCTCAAACATTCAATGGTGTCCTCGTGGTGGACAC